CTTCCGCTTCCATTCACCGTAGTTCCTCCAAAGTCAGAATCATAATCTTCACAATAGCCCTGAGAACAAGAGTATACACATTGGTTAAACTTCGGAGACATTTCTTCTTTCGCACTTGACCAATCATGGATAAAAGCAGCTAAATCTTGTATCTCCTCAGGAAAACATAGCACTATTGAGTAACTATTACATCCTATGGAGAATTCCAATATTTGGTCATAGCGTTAAGAGCTCTTGGTTTTAGTCCCACAAGCCCTCTTTGAAATGACCTGGAAGTTATTTTTTTCAAATGTGTACATACCTTTTAAAAAGAACTTGTTCAATCCACAGTTGTCACTGTCAGTCCTACATAACAAGAACATAAAAGTAAGGTTCCATTTCCAGAGATGATCATGTAAACTGAAGCCAGCCTCCCTATATTAAATCTATTGTATTACAAGTTGCATGGTTATTAGCAAGAGTGATTTAGCAAAAGACATTTGCAAGAGTAGAGCTGTTCAATATACTAGCCATGTATGGTCAGATTAGAATTTGAAATATGACTATTACCAAATCACATATGGCTTTTGTTACATTTATACTGGACATTGCTGATCTAGCCAATGGAAATAGAACAGGGTTGATAAAATGTTCCCAATAGGCTGAATGCTAGCAAAGTAGCAGAAAGAAAAAAAACCTAGTGGGAAAATTTTTTATGGTCATGTCCACAGCAAATGAGAAACTGCATTCTCAAAGCCTTGGTAATGACCATTATATGGTAAGAGAATTAACTTACCAGAGTTCTTTTGGTTGAGCTTCTTCGATCTCCACTTGAATATGGACATACTTCAAAAACTCCCCACCTATTGGAAATTTTAAAGTTTAGATACATTTTTCAAAATGCAGTTAATTAGGTTCCCAAGTATCCTGAAACCCAGTTCTGAACTAGTATGTGCTGCAAATTACAGACTTAAAACTACGTAACGTGCGATAATTGTTTTCAATCCAGTTCATTTAAATGTTGGGAATATATTTTAAACTAAAGCTATATTCATTTGCACTCAAACCCCAAATGACACGAAATGCCCTGATTATTAACTCCAAAGGTAACTATTCCTGTTTCAGTTAACTTTTACTTAGAGCTTTTGCTGGAAAATACAGCACAGATTTCATTTGGATGGATGTTCAGAAAGGCTACTTTCATTCAGCGCATTCAGAGCAGTTGAACATTTTGCCCATCATCATAACATCACAAATCACTGGCAAACAGTATAAACACACATTGTGGCCTTTTAACATCTAGAGTTTTGTTTTTTTTTTAAGTGGTGAGGTAATTAACTACCAGGATTAGCAGCTGTCAAAATTAGGTAAATAAATGGATTCCATCTCCTATAACAGGGCTTTTGAAGGGAAATCTTACCTGTAATCTTTGGGATCCAATGTCTTTACTCCGGGGCCCTAGAAGTCAAATTGTAGAAGTACACTGATTGCTATTTTGGCAAACAGATCTAATTGTTTCTAGTGTTGAAAAGCCTTACAGAAATGTTACAGGCCTCATTGTCACCACAGCAATAAACCTGCTATGATGGAAGCATAACCTGTGTCTCAATGTAGCCACATCAACAATTTCTGGACACCATGAACAACAGTGCCCACTTCCATCTAGAATGAGGCTTTATAGAAGTTCCTCTCAAGCTTATAATCTATACAAAGGTTTCTGCCTCTAAGTCCTGCTGTTTTGCTAACCAGATGCTGTCAATAAAAGAAAGCAGCCACCAGAAGCAACTGAAATAAAAAGCCTTACCCGTTAGGGTCTGAGCCTGGATCTGCCTGGTTCTCAATTCCAAACACCCCTAGAAAAAGAGAAGTGTTAGTTCCTCCTGTAGATTCTCTCAAATTGAACAGTATGAAAAACTAGAGGAATACTGTTTCAATAAAAATACCAGGTTTAACAGGCACGAAGCCAAGAAAACCAACGATGCCAGATACTGAGTTTCTATTGCACTGTCTCTTGAACACCCAGCAGGAATGAGCTGCTGAGGGCAGATACCATGCAGTGCGATCCTGATGGATATGTAAACCCCTCTACTTCAAGGCTACCTGAGAAACTTTTCTCGAAATTTAAGTTCTTGTAATATGTAGACCTTTATTCCTAATTGCCACTCCAATAAGACATTACCTGCAACTTAAGTTATAAGCCCAGTCCCCATTATCTTTCCTGTCTCTGTATAATGCACATACATAACTATGAAGGGAAATCACTAAAAGAAATGATGCATTAGAAACAAGATCAGTTGCTTAGATTATCAGGCAGAATTCCTTAAAAAAAATTTAGTATATCTGTTGTAACATATCCAAATATGTTATTAGGATGAACCATAGGAATTGTTTAATAAAGATACAAAAGGGGGCATTTTCATGTTATTTCCCAGTCTCTTCAGTTTGTCCAAATCTGTATGTAAGTTTTACAGCATTTTTACTAAGATCTTGATACTTCTGTTGCATACCCAACTACTGCACACAACAGTATGCTGACCTCACAACTTCTATTTTTTCAGAACGTTTGGATCCTTAATAAATTTCAATAGAATCAGATGTTCCACCTACCTCTAAATATGAGTTCAAATCCTATTCACCCCTACAGATAAAAAGATTAAGAACAATTTAATTGTGATTAAAATTTAAAACCTAAATATATGACTAGCATCCACATTGTAACTGGATTTTTTAAGCTATAGTCAGCTCTGTCAGAATTAAGTTTTAGTTCATGTCTGTATCATTCAGCAGTTGAACAGTTAAATTCATCATCTGAACTGTAACAGTACCCCAAAGATTACACTGTTCCCAATGGAAACTTACCTAAACCATCACACCCTAGAACTGTACAGATTGTTGGGATATGCCAACACCTAAGATTTAAAAAAATTTGACTATTAGGTCTTTCACAGAATTTTAGCAGTTAAATGTCTTGTAGTTCTTTCCCACAGATCTAACACATAGTTCTGTGAATAAAGGAAACCACACATATACTCTATGAGGCGTTTCCAACGATGTAGGTCTACAGAGAAAAAGCCCCATCGGGATAGACCTCAACCATGGTTTAGTTTTAAATTGGAAGATTCCACAAGAAAAACACAACAGTGATCTGCTCTCAGTCACCGAGTTCAAAAATGTGCAAAAAGCCGAACATTTACAACAAACTTAATCATTCCATAAATTACACAGTAAGGATTTTTAAAATGCTTACAGGAAGGAGTTATAATGAGAATAAAAACCAAATACTAAAGATAAGTACAAAGTAGCTACTATAGAACCACCAAAGGAGGAAAAAGATTTCCATATCTAAAAGTCCTGATTTTGGCAAACTCCAGTATCAGAGTATGTTTTGTCTAGGACATTCCAGATTACAGCAGTGTTTAAATTTTTGCCTCAGCTTAAGAAATAACATTATTTGGTATCACGTACTAAAAAAGAGGAAAATATTAATGTGGCTATATGTATTTCTGTTCTTCCCATTTATGAAATCACTGGAAGATAAACAAATTGGGTGCTTTTTAATTACCATTTGCATCATTCAGATTTAGGAAATCTTATGTCCTCTAGTCATTTCTAACATTACACTACTAAATCCTATACCTCATTTTAGATTATGCATTAGTTTAAAATAATGTAAATGTGTGAAATGAGAATGTCTAGTATTCTGATTATTTCAATATAAACTAACTTAGTTTGTGGAGACCCTTTCCTGCTAGTAAAGTGAAGCTTGCACTTTACCACTATAATGTGTGAACCCTAAAATTCATTTTTCTGAAATGTCAAACAAATTGTAAACTGGCAAAATGTCTTTCAGTAATGAAACCTGTGGAGGTTTAAACTGACAAAGCTCATTTCAACAAATCTGACCCAAATACTCACCTAAAGCATAAGACATACCTTTAAAGTCCAGACATTGTGTTCAAGTGAAAAGCCTAAAAAAAAAAAAAAACCATCTTTGTTTCATGTCAGCATTAAAATTAGAATACTAATTCAATATAGCTGAGATTTCCCTTATATATATATATTTTTTGAAGATTTTATTTATTTTTGACAGAGAGCGAACACAAGCAGGGGGAGTGGGAGAGGGAGAAGCAGGCCTCCCCACCAAGCAGGGAGCCTGATGCAGGGCTAGATCCCAGAATCCTGGGATCATGACCTGAGCCCAATGCAGACGCTTAATGACTAAGCCACCCAGGCGCCCCTTCCCTTATATACCTTTAATTCTACAGTCCTGGAACCGCCCTTCAGGTTTGTCAATATACCCACCATCACTTTAATCTGTTTTAGGGATCTTGTTCCTTCTTGTATGTATCAAAACTCATACTGTGCCATGAGTTCTGGGTTGCAAAAGAGGATTTATTTTTTGCACTTAGTCTAAGTCTTTGTTCACAAACTAAACAAAAACAAGCACAAGTGCAATCATAAAATACAGTATATATTTAGTGGCATAATCAGCAATATGCAGTAGTGATAGTAAGTGGTAGCTGAAATAGTCTAGGTAACTAGTAAGTTTTTATTATGGTACTACATATCTGAAGCTAAAGGTCACTTTTATCTGAATAAAACTGTGGTCAAAACCCGTTTCAGGTACTCTGAGGAATGGATGGTTGTTGTCCATCATTAGTGATTACTGTAATAAAAGATTTACAATCTCTGTACTTCTTTGAATGCTCAAGTGATGCCTTAAGTGCTTACCCTGAAATAAACAAGCAGAGGCAAAACGGATCTTCTGTTTATTATTTCTCAAGCGATTATTTCTTTTATATACAAGCCTCAATTTTTTCTATGTGTATAATTTCACTGTTTTTAAAATGTTTTTTTCTAGTAATTCTTTACAAGTTTCACTAACTTGTTCATTCTTTTTTTCTCCTTAGCAGGTTCTTTTTTTATCACTACGCCAACATATATATTTGTATTTTTCATCTTTACTTTCTACAAAAAGCCGTTTTCTCTATTTACCTTAACATTCATATTCCTATCTCTTTTCAGGCCATTCTGTCCTGTCCAGTGTTTTTGGACTTTGACGCTCTCTTTTTAGACAAAGCGGCTTCTTCAGTATATTCTTCTTGTTCTAAATACACATTCTTCATCTTTGGTACTTCAGAACTTATTATGAAATCATTATTGTCCTGCATAAAAAACTCCAATTATTAAGTAACTACTCAATTTTATTGCTTTAGTAATTACATATAACTGAACTCTAGGTTACTTAAAATAACCTGGTGACTAAGGCCTGATGTTAAAAACCCAAATTCAGCTTATTTTTTTATTAGAAAATCCTAATTAGACATTCTAATAGCAAAACTTAACATATTAAACTTATTAACAGTACTGAAAACCCAACATTCTCACCAAGCATCCAAATAATCCCTATTTTTATTCTTACATTTCCTGTACACCAAATCCATTGAGCCTTTCAAAAATTAAGTTCAGAATCTAAGATAGTAACTAGTGGATTAAATTCTTCCTGTACAACTGCTATCCTCCTGAAATGGGAAAAAATGTTACTTACCACCAATTTGATATCACATTCATCATTATGTTCAAGATTTGTTGCAGCCTCATCCTCTGTTCTGTAATGTTAAAATATACCCTCAGACGACAAAATCATCTATCTAGAACCCAGTAATATACTGTCATGATATACAAATGAAACAGCAATACTAGTTAAGGAGAAAAATTATGTTGTCATGTATGACATCCCAAAATGGATGGCTCATGTGCCAAGCTCAAAGCTCAACTACAACCCAGACGGGCTTATTGTATCTATGCTCCCATAACTATTCAAGTAACAACAAATCCATAACATAATATGGAACAATTAACATTAAAATTTAAAAAAATATTAATTCAATAAAACCTAGGACCTAAATTATGTCACGATTAAACTTACCCTGATTCTTCAATAGGAGAGAGAGAACCATCATCATCCAAGTATTTGTATCTACGACTGTCAAAATCTTCTTTTTCTAAATCTTCACCAACATTCATTTGTTTCAAGGATTCCTTGAGGTAGTATTCATACTTCAGTTTTTCAAGGTAGTTGAAAAATCCTCTTGCTACTGCTTGCTAAATATCAAAAGCACTTTATGTAATGGTCTTACAAAACACAAAATTTTCTTCCATGACTTATGTTCCAAAATGAAAAGGATCCCTTTACCACAAACTCTTAAGCGATTCTGATTTACTCACTCTGCCATATGTGGATCACATACACCAGATGCTGGTTGTAAAAAGAACCCACTATCTACCTAGCACATTATCAAATTACGTAAGTTGTTGGTATACCAAGAAAAACTAAGCACAAATCTTATATTGTTTGGGAATTTCTAAAGACTTTTTTTTTTTTTTAAGATTTTAATTTATTTGACAGAGGGAGAGATAATGAGAGCAGGAATACAAGCAGGGGGAGCGGGAGAGGGAGCAGCAGGCCTCCCGCTGAGCAGGGAGCCTGATGCGGGGCTCTATCCCATGACCCTGGGATCATGACCTGAGCCCAAGGCAGACGCATAACGACTGAGCCACCCAGGCGCCCCTCTAAAGACTTTTTAATTTTATTTCATTTTGTTATGTTAGTCACCATTCATTACATCATTAGTTTTTGATGTAGTGTTCTATGATTGTTTGTAACACCCAGTGCTCCATTCAATATCTAAAGACTTTTTAAATGCAAAGAGAAATCTCTTTTGTTCACGTATCAGCTTAAAACATAAAAGGTTAGTATTCTTTCAAATCACCAATTCTAGAGCAAAAGATTATAAATTATGCAATCATTTAACTCAAGTATTTGAGAGTTTAATGCTAAGTTATTTGTCAGGCAATTCTGTCAAAATTGAATATTCAGTATCTATAAGGAAATGGCCTCTACTAAAGCCACTACACATGGAAGATACGGGTGGGTTTGACGTTAGGTTACTGTAAAATTGGGATCACTTGAGTTTTAGGGATGATACTTAAAAACCTGATGAGATCAAAGGATTTTATATAAACAGCCTTAGAACACCTCATATATGGGTATATTCATTGAAACTGAATGTACCAGTGAAGAATCCACCCAGAATGGGTTGGTCTTGAAGTGACAGATAAGTCAGTACAGAAGGATATTATCAAAGTCGCAGATTCTATGTTCCAGGCACATCTAAATTCTAAAAGTGGCCAACAAGTCATTTCAGACATTTTAGCTGTTATGTATCCACACATATAAAATAATGACTTACCTCAAAGGTTAAAATTTTTCTCCAAGGTAATGGTTTTCTTGCATTCTCGGATTCTAAAAATGGGAACCCAGATCCTTTATCTTGAACTTGTTTCTTATTTATTTGGGAACGTCTAGTGTTTTTTCTCCCTTTTGGTCTTCCTCTTGGTCTTCCTGTTGGTTTATATTTCCTCTTTTTACGTTTCTTTTTTTTGAATCTTTCAAAAATAGCTTTTAAAGTCAATGGTCTTGGTTCGAAAGATGAGTCACTAGATGAATCCCTTGCCTGAACACCTTCAGGTGAATGAACAAACTTTCTAGTAGGGTTTCTTTGCCCCTGTTTAGGTGAGTAAGGGACACACTGAGTTTTAAATAAGCTGCTACCAGAAGAGTTATCACTAGAAAAAAAGGGGAAAAAATTAATTGCACTCTTTTATGTTACTGAATGCTTATTACCGTAAGCTTCCACAGACCAAAAACAGGAAAACATGCTCAGGATAATTTTTAAAAAAGACGGGCTCAGGACTAAACCAACCACTTAGTTCAGACTACCTAAAATGGACCGTAATGCCATAATGTCATGATGCCATAGCACTTACCAAAACATGACCTTCCAAGATAAATAGAATTTTAATTTCCAAAGGCAGTCTTGTTTAGTGCTAGAGCTTGCTCTAAATAAAACAAGAGTAGCCTAGCAAACAGACATTTGATTATAACAGAAATGCTGATTTGATTTCCCAGTGATTATTTCCATCATGCCAGCTCTATTATAATGTGCATTATCCCAACAAGTTGATTTTTAAGCAAGATCCCCCACTGATGTCTATTTTCCTGTTGTAGGATTAGGATTTAGCCAGGAAGAGATACCAAATTGGCCCAAAGAGTATTGTTTCCCCAGGGTTAAGAATGTATCCCACTGTTAACTGCATAAACTGAAGACCTGTGTAAAACAGGTTTTCCTTTTCTTTCCTAATTATTGAAAATTACCTTTATTGCTTACCCAGTAATAAAAATACAGTAAACGTTATCAGCAAATCTAGTCAGTTTTGCAGTAAAAATCTAGTGGTGGTTGATTAAAATAGCACTTACCTCTCATTTTCAATTTCCACAGCTGAATTAGATGCCATTATAGAGTTAAAATTCATTCCAGTTACATATTCTCCCAAGTCCTTCTCCAAATTGTTTTATTCGCCACTTATTTGCTTAAGAGTTCTGACAATTCGGTAAACGTGATGTAGCTTCTCTGAACAAATGCCAACACAAACAGCTAGTATCCCAGTAATACAAAATTTGATGTAGTCAGATTATGTCACATTTTATGTAAATTAAGGCAAAATCATATACAAGGCCCTTAATATTTTTATGTAGGAATCATCCATTTCAAATCAAATTCTAAAATCTAGAAACTGAATTCACGGTTTCCGTTTTTCAATTGTCTTCTCAATCTTATCCAGTGGAGTGAGAGTCCAGAACAGTATTGTCATTTCCAAAAAAGTATTAAACATCTTCCCATGATACAAAATGAAATTTTACTAACCATGTAACGTACAATTACAAGTATTCACATACAATTAATGGCCAAAAAACCATTTTTCAGGACCAGACAGGAACTCCTTGGAAAAACTTTTACATACAAAGCCAGAAGGCAGTGTTGCCTCAGTATATCAAGAAAAAGATTCACGATTTACTACCCCAATCCAATCTCCTGGATTTCCATTTGTAGCCTCTTCTCATTCACGCTACGATTCATCAAAGTCACTGTGAAACCTCCTTCCTTGGCATATTATCTCCTTGCCATTATGGGTACTAATTAACAAGTTCTGAATTCTCAAACTTCAACGAAAGACTAATAGACCACACAATGGTGCCCTTTGTCTTTTTATACTCTCCTTGGAAAATCTGACAATAGTGGGCAAAAAAGCAAAGAGGTCTTATTTTACTACCTCATCTCCCTCTTTCAAGGGATACCAACATTCTTCCGTTTTTGTCTTTAGTATACCTGAGAATGACAACTGAGTAGCGAAGAATGGAATCCTAGGATAAAATGACAAAATATCTCAAATACAAGAAATCATCAAGGTCAGGTAGAGATTTGCAAAATGTCCGATGGACTCGTGGTAATTTCATGGTTATGTTTTGTTGGTAGTGTTTTAAAATGCGAAAACCTAACTATTCATGAAATAACTGCTCAAAAATGAAATTTAACAAAAACTGGGTTACACGGCACTGATGGTATACCGGAGGTTATGTCTGTCTTCTAAATATCAGCACATTACTACAGCACAGTGGAGTTAAAAACCAGTTTCCGGAAACCGTGTAGAAAAACATTCCTAACGAAGTGTACTTCTTATCCCAAGATTCCGCGAGAGGCCATGCGGCGAGGTAGCGCACTTAGTGCTAACAATCCCTTCAACCACTTACTATGCCTGCCCTTGGGGCGAGTGCCTCCAGGGAGCACCTCACCTCACGCAACAAGGCGTCAGAAATGGTTACCTCGCACTTACGAAAATTCACAAAACGTGTACGTCCGTAATGCTTCATTTTAAGCATCCAGACACAATGCAGCACGCCTATGAACGCGCAGGTGTGGGCCACAGTCCGGCTACGAAGCCCTCAGCCCAACGACCGCGAGCCCTCCACCCTCCGGGCCTGCCTTCCGGGCTCGAGCCAGCGGAGCAACGCGGGGATCCCCGGAAAAGCTAGCTCCTCCCTCGCTCACCAGGCCCGAGAGTCGTGTCCTCTTCCTACCCACCCACATCGGCGACCGGCTTGCACCAAAGGCGCCGGCCCACCACGGGCCTCAGCTGCGTACTCGCGCCCCGCAACCCAGGCCTCCGACGTCCGCATTTGGCAACCTCCAACCCTCGGCACCCCAACACGCATACAACTGCTTACCTCCACAACCTCGCGGAAAGAAAGAAAGACCCACCCCGCGACCCAGCTAATAGTGGGCCCGAAATCTCGCGAGAACAATTGAACGCCACGAGGACAGTTAATGGTGGGAAGAGGCGAGACGCGGGGCGGCGTTATAACCGCCGCGAGGGGTGGGGCGATAGGCGGTGGGGCGATTGGCGGTGGGCGGTGGCTGAACGCCCAAATGCGGAGGAGGCGGGGTTGACAGACAAAGTCAGGATTCAGGTGCTGGCTTCGCTAACCTAGTAGGTACGTGGAATAGCCAAGAACTTTTACGCAAATGACGAGAACAAATTGCGGGGCCAAGTAAACGGAGTGGATGTGAACTGCGAGGAGTCAGCCACTCTTCTGTTTCCGGTGTCTCGCATTTGCTGAGTGGTCGTCGACTTTTCTAAAGCCTTCGGGGGTGTGTGCGTGGCGGTGAGTGTGGTGCTGGCTGTGTTTTGTCATGTCTACTTTTGCCTTCAAAAATCTCTTCTGTGTGAAACCGTGACAGGCTCATGCTTTGACCGTGACTCCAAATGTGTAACCTTTGTTCTGGAAGCCGGTGTTACTCCATAGCACACCCCATTCCCCTCTCCACCTTTGGACTTGTTTCGTTAGCTCACTCCTTCCCTCCAAACTGAGGAGGGAAGCGCCACTAAAGGTGCTAAAATATGAGCCATCTCCTTTCTTCTGTAGTATCTCCTTTGACTTGTCATGGTGTTTTAACTTTCTATTGTTAATTATAATAGCATGTTAATCATGCTATTATATAGTATAATAATAGCAGGTTAATCATGCTATTATTATTATTATGCTATTATTATTAATAGAAATTTGCTATATGATGTCAAAGTAAAGAAAAAATTTTAAATATAAATTATTAGCATGAATTTTACTTCATATAGCATGCAATGCCAGTTTTAAATACAAATGTAAGAACGGTTAACTCCTATGCAGAATGATGAAATTCACAATTCGTATTTCATAGCTCATACAAACATGTATTTTGTTCTTACTAGAACAATGGAGACTGCACAAAACCAACTCACCTGTATTTTTTTTTTCTTTTATTTCTTGATGGATGCACGATCTACCAACACTACAGAATCCGGGGACTTTGAGTTTCACAGAATTCCAAGATGGTGGGTCCACCAGATTTCTGTGCTCGTGGGGTTTCACAAATGCTTTATGTGAATGAGGTAGCAAGGAATAGTGGTGGACATGCACTTTGCCCCTCTGGCCTCTGGTCCTGCACATGCTCCACTGTCCTATCGGCCTTTTTAAAAGTTCAAATATAAAGTTAAGAATTTCAGGGTGGTGACGACAGAGCATTAAACCAAATGCCATTCTGAGCACATGGCACTGTGTCATTATACTAATTGCACACCCTTGAGGCTAGCCCTATCCCAGAGCCTTATGGGTCTGATACACTGTAAATACTCAATAAATAATTAAGGCTGAACTGGTGCCCACTAGGAAGGCACTTGGAAGACAGAACCACAGTCCTATCTTCAGAGAGATCACAGCCTAGGTGAAAGAAACAAAGCAAACAGATGATAACTCTTGAGTGCTATAAGATGGCTCTGTACAAATTCTTCCTTCTAGGAGCTGAAATGTGTCATTCCATCACAAGTTAACCCACATGGTATAATGTGAGGAGTTCTGGCTTTACGGAGGGCTACATTTGGTTTTGAATTATTTCTGCCACTTTAATAGCTGAGCAATCTCGAGTAAATAATATATTCTCTCTGGCCTATTCCTCTTTTGTAAAATGAGAATTATAATATCTATTTGGTGTGAGAGGTTCTGAGAGAATGTAAAGTACCTAACATGGTACCTGTTATACAGCAGGTACCTGTTATATATGTCAATAAATGGTTATCAGCTTGGTTGCTACAGTTGGCCTACCCTGTCAGGCATTGTCTCTGCGGTTCTACTTAATACAGCTGCCTCCCCTTTATACTCTTCCCTTCTTTAGACCCTCCTTCTGGGCCACTGACTCCCAGCGATGCAATCTGGAGGGTAAATATCATGTGCCTCCTTCTGGCCTAAAGCTGTCTTCCTAGAGCCACACTTGAGTTTACATTAGAACCTTTCTAACGCCCTTCTCTCATCAATGCAGCTTCAACCTCCCCTCCTCCCTCCCACATAAACACATTTATACACACGTTACCACACTGCCTTCTGGGCTGTTGGCTTGCCTGAAGTTTACATTTCCAAACCAGTTATTCAACTGTAGCCTCCCGGGGCTGGACTTTGTTTTTTATTTTGGTGGGGAAAGAAAACAAACAAAAAAAAGCTGACCTTTTAAAGATAGCAAAGGGTGTAAAATTAGGATTGTGTTTGAATTTAAACTTGTCTTTATTATTCCTACTATAAACAGAAAAATATCTAGAATGCTTTATTTTCCTCATTATAAATAAATACAGTATTGAGCAGATTTGACATGTTCTTAATTAGTACTTTCTGATAAAGAAAATATAAGATGTTAAGATTTAGAAAATCTAGGTGAAGAGTATACAGGAGTATTTATATGTATTCTCTGTCCATTTGAAATTAATTTCAAAAAAAAGTTAAAATGTTTCATTCTTGAACAATTACAGATTGTTCAACTGAAAGATATGCTTGAGATCATTGAAATATGATTATATAGGACTTGGGGCCCATTATCAACAGTTGGTATTTTATTTGGGAGACTGATTATGCATATTATGTAATTAAAGGATAATAAAATTTGGTATTTGATGAAGTACTTATGTAAATGTTAAGTCCTAAATGTATGAGATTAGCATGTGTGTGGAGGATATGTTGTTTGAAATTATCATCAAAACCAGAAACCCAGGAATGCCTGGTGGCTCAGTTGGTTAAGCATCTGCCTCCAGCTCAGGTCATGATCCCAGGGTCCTGGGATCGAGTCCCGCATCAGGCTCCTGGCTCAGTGGGGAGCCTGCTTCTCCCTCTGCCTGCCGTTCCCCCGGCTTGTGTGCTCTCTCTCTCTCTGACAAATAAATAAATAAGATCTTAAAACGAAACAAAAAACCAGAAACCTAGTTTCTAAGGAACCTGTGAATCTTTGGAAAATTAAAAAAAAAAAAAGTGGGGGTGGGGAGATTTTCCAAGTGATATTGAAAGACCACCTTTCACTTACCAAGTAAGCTTGTATCAAGACTTGAGATTAATAATTAATGAGGTGTTCCATTAACAGTTTTAATGAGAATCTGCATAGTGCTCTTAGAAACACTCTTAAAAGAGTTTTGCTTGCATTCTTTGTTGCACCTGGCTGAGAGTGGGATTCCCTGCCCACCTCACATTATTTTTCCTTTTTTTTTCTTCATTTGATTTACTTTGCTCTGCTTGCGCACCTTATCACCTGAACACTTAAGGTAAGATACTATCTCTATGTATATATGCCTACTTATTGTAAAATATGCTTAGCATATATTTTTAAAAAATCAAACTATAATTGGTTAGGTTATCAGAATAATTGAACATTAAGGCTGCTTACCAAGAAAGTATTTTTATTTACTTGTAAGTAAAAGTAATAATTTGAATTTCAATAGCTACTCATTTGTAGAAGTTTGCATTTCTCTTAGTAATTTAAATTTTCTTTTAAAAGTGATAGCCTAAGAAACTTGTTTAAGTTTTAGCCTAAATGTCAAATACAGAATAGAAAACACAAATTATCTACGAATTACTTGAGCGTCCTATACTGTTATCTACAACCATTTAAATAGTTACTTATAAACCTTAAAAACTACCTTTTGCTTCAGGACCTATGTTTCTTAGACGAACCATTAGAAAACTGCATGTTCGGGCGCCTGGGTGGCTCAGATGGTTAAGCGTCCACCTTCACCTCAGGTCATGATCCAAGAGTCCTGGGATCGAGTTCCGCATCGGGCTCCCTGCTCCTTGGGAGCCTGCTTCTCCCTCTGCCTCTCTCTCTTTCTCCGTCTCTCATGAATAAATAAATTAAAAAAGTTAAAAAAAAAAAGAAAACTGCATGTTCGATCCACATATATGACTAAAGAAAATGAGTCATGTGCCTCCTTAGTTTGGCATTTCCTTTTATCTATTTTAAGTGTTGACTTTAAAGTATCAGTATTAAAAAAAGATTACTTGGGCATTTCTCACTTGGAATGTTAAATACTGGAAACTGTGGTTGCCTTTCTGTGAGGAAAGAAACATAAATGCCCTTTTGCCCTTTTTATATAACAACTCTTGTGTTCCTTTCCAGAGCAACAGCTGTTCATGCATGGTGCACAGTGAACTCTTGTGATCATTAGCCTACCATAGGCAAATTCTTGGGGTCATTAGCCTACCATAGTTTTGTGTGTATATCCTGATACCTAAAGAAGAAAGAAATGGCTTGTGCTGAGTATTCTTTTCATGTGCCAAGTCTTGAGGAGCTTGTTGGAGGTAAATACAATAATAACTTTGAGTATTTTTTAATTATTCTAAGAAAAAAAATTTAAAAATAAAAATATTCTAAGATATGATTTATGCAATAGTATTTCCATTGCAGAACTTATTTTCCTGGGGCTCCTGAGCGGCTCAGTCAGTTAAGTGTCTGCCTTTGGCTCAGGTCATGATCCCAGGATGGATCCCCACATTGGGCTCCCTGCTCAGCAGGGAGTCTGCTTCTCCCTCTCATTTTCCTTTTCAATATCTCTTTGTACTTTTTAAAAAAGATTTATTTATTTCAGAGAGAGAGAGAGCACGTGTGCGCGAGCCGGTGGAGGGGCAGATGGAGAGGGAGAGGGAAAGAATCCCAAGCCGACTCTGCCCTAAGTGGCACTGAGCCTCAGGCTCCATCCTGTGACCCATGAGATCCTGACCTGAGCCAAAACCAAGAGTCAGATGCCCAACCGTCAGAGCCACACAGGAGCCTTCATATTATTTTTATTGAGAGAGTCCAAAATTATGCCCCCCTAAAAAAACTAAACTCACCATTTGAAGATTCTTGTTAAGATACCAACTTTACAGAGTGAAAACAAATATAGTAATCCAAGATTTAAGTATGTGTGATGCCCACAAAGTCACACAATTTTAACTTTTTACCAGTTACAATATTCTTTAAATATATAACCTACTGTGGTATGTTAATCATGTTCCTAACATTTCTACTCCTTCCCCTTCTGATACGATAGACTGCCGATGAACTTGCTTAGATTTCTCTGTCTGCATATATTTTTATGCATTTCCCCTTGTGAACAAGAATTTAAGGCAGCTTCACAGGATTAATTAGGAGGGGTGATAGATAAGAAAAAGAAAATAAAAATAGGAATATGAAATGAAGTCAGGAATAGTACTAACCCAAAACTATGTAGCCTGTCAGAAAGCTACCATTTATTTGACAACCTTTAGGTTCTGATAGTACCTATAAAACCACCCTTTTCAAAGTGCACCCATCCTGATAGTTTGTCTGTCTTCCTGATAAGGTTGAAGTCAAGAAGTGTACTTAGGTTTTGCTTCGTTGTGGCTTGTGTATTTTATGTTCTTTCTATATGTACAGATTATATTCAGTACAAAATAGAAATGGAATCTGAGTTTTTTGCCTTAAAATTTATTTTCAGTTTTACGGAAAATCCTAGAGCAAGAATTTGGTCTCTTTGTAATTGATAAAAAATAGATTTTACTATATTTCTACATGCTGAAATCTTTTTCTATTTATAAGTCTGCAGTTGTCAGTTTAGGGAGGGGAATTTTCCAGGCAACTTGATTTCTGTTTTCATATAGCTAAAAGATCTGGTATGGAATGTATACATGGCTAGATTTAAGACAACTTCATGTTTTGGAGAATCTGATTCTATAAAACCTAAACTAATGGCTGACTACTCCCAGAAAAACTTTTATGGAAACTTATCACCCTTAGAAGTACATTCCTCCTGGGGTACCTGGATGGCTCAGTTGGTTAAGCATCCAACTCTTAATTTTGGCTCAGGTCATGATCTCAGGGTCACGATCTCAGAGTCATGAGATCGAATCCTATGTTGCGCTCCGCATTGGGCGTGGAGCCTGCTTAAGATTCTCTCTCTCCCTCTCCCCATCTCTAACAAAAAAGAAAAAAAGAAGTACATTGCTCCTAGATTTATTATGTCACTACCATCCAGATTGAGATATAAAATATTTCCAGCATCCCAGAAGACCCCTTTATTTGCTTTTCCAGTCAATATCTCTACCCCAAGAGGTAACACTGTTCTGACTTCTGTCACCTTAGATTAATTACCTGATTTTGAAGTATATATAAGTGAAGTTACATATACTCTTTTGTGTCTTACTCCTTTTGCTCAACATTTTCTCTTCAAGTGTCAATGAAATTGTTGCATGTAATTAATTGCTTACTTTCTAACCATTTAAATATATACATTTCAATAGGTCTTTGGAATTCTCTCCCTAAAAGGTAGGTAGTCCTCACCTTAGTGCAGTGTTTATCTTCAATGGTTTAAATCTCTACAGATTTACAGTGATTTTTATGGGGGTATTTGATATTACACATGTGATTGTGTGTCTAATGTCTAATTATATTCATTAGGAAGACCATTTCATCCCCCCCCCCCTTATTTTTTAAGCAAGCTCTACATCCAGCCTGGGGCTTGAACCAAGATCAAGAGTCACTTGTTTACCTACTGAGCCAGCCAGGTGCACTCCTCCCCCCAACTTTTAATAATACAAGTTTAGATTGGAAGCATGATATCCAAAATGTTGAGGGAAGATTTGATATATGGTGGCAAATTTTTACCTAATGTTAACGAACTTTTTTTCCTTGTCTTTGTCAGTTCTGCAGAAGGGGCTAAAGGATAACTTTGCTGATGTCCAGGTCTCTTTGGTTGATTGCCCTGATTTGACTAAGGAGCCATTCACCTTTCCTGTGAAAGGTAAACAATTTTTGCAATTCACTTTTTTCAGTCCTAATCTTTTTCTGAAATGAGAATTATTATGAAGGGCCATCTTAAATTATCTACAAATAAAGGATATTGTCCCAAATTGTAGACTAAATCATGCTGAATTTCTGTGCTGTTTTCTTATATTGAGCAAATTTCACTTTATACCCTTGTGGGAAAATATTGTTTTATGCACTTTTGTTATTATCACAGGTTACATAATAGATATTCAGTAGCCTAGAATCCTTGATATCACATGAGAGTTTTGTTTTTAACTAACAAATTCCAGCTGTCCACAGGACATCTCCACCTATATATGCTAAGGACAACTTGAGGTCAGCATGTCAAAATTTAGCTCATTGAAGGACTGTTATGGAAACAGAAAATTTTATGTTATTTATTTATTCAAGACCAGAAGGGATCTTAAAAGCCTTGTATTTGAATCATCTGTGAAATACTTATTTGCCAAGTGATCATCCAGCCAATGTTGTAAGAAGGGAAATTAATACTGATTGAGTAAATATAATTTGTATGATAAACACCTATATTTGATGTTTTAATTTTTACAGTAATACTGCAAGGTAAGTACTAGCCTCAGTCCATAGATGAGAAAACCGAAGCTCAGAGAGGCTAAGCTCAGAGGTAATCATAAGCAGGATTCAAATCCAAGTGTATCTGTTTCAAAAGTCTGACCTTCTCCCATTATACCCTACTGTGATGAGCAATTTGAGATAAACACTCACTCTCACTTCCTCTTTGATTATGTAACTGACATCTTTGTTAAAAAGTAGTTTTACACAGAAGTCCTGGACTCTGCTTCTTTCTCTGCCACGTACAGATTTCATTACCCTAGGTAAGCCAACTAATGTATTTGGGCCTCAAATATATTAAAATGGAGAGATTTGGCTTTCATGTTCCTTTTGGTCTTTCCAGTTTAAAATCTTTGATTTTAAGTATATCTATAAATTCTAGAAGTTTTGTGTACCAGATGGCAATTTCTCGTTGTACCTTGAAAGCATTTAGCATTATACTTTTTTATAGCCATGGTTCTTCCAATTATAAAAGTAATCTATTCTCCCCACTAAATAAGTAATTAATTAGTTGAAATAAAATTAAAAAATCAGAAAACACAGAAGAATACAAGGAAAAGAAAAAATGGTTAATCTTAATTCTGTCATCCAAAGAATTTTCTAGTCAATAATTTGTAAGCCTTAAAATTGCAACACTAAGGAGCCTAGATATGTATGTTTATATATGAATGATCTTTCATAAATGTAGTTAGGTACTTTCTACATGAACTGGTCTTACTGAAGTCACCAGTGACTTTGGTATGTTTACTAGTATTTTCTGATCTCTCACATATTTCATAGTACCCGGCCATTGATGCCTGACATTTTCTTTCCCCTCTCCTTGGTTCTTTTGCCTCTTCTTCCTTGGTATCTTTCCTAATTCCATGTTCTTTCTTCCTTATTTTTCCTAGTTCATTTCTCTTTCTGGCAGGCTCTTAAATCCTGACATTTTCTAGAATTCTTTCCTCAGCCTCTTCTATACAATCTCTCCGCATTTTTCCATCCACTCCTGTGGTTTTAAATTACTACTTGGATACAAGAACTTGAAATCTGCACATCTCACCTTCGTCTCTCTTTTTCTTAGCTATGGATCAGTAATTCCAGCTGTCCACAGGACATCTCCGCCTATATATGCTAAGGACAACTTGAGGTCAACATGTCTAAAATTTAGCTCATTCCTTCACCATAGTTGCTTATTCTCCCTTGTTCTTTTTCTTAATTTCCTCTTCTCCATCTCTACAGTTAACCATTTTTAGCTCATTACTTGTATTTTTCCTAGACTATTTAAAATCGTCCCCCAATGGTTTCTTTCAACTTCAACATTACCGGTGGTGCCTGGCCAGCTCAGTTGGTAGAACATGTGACTCTTGATCTTAGGGTCCTGAGTTCAAGCCCCATGTTGGGGGTGGAGCCTACTTAAAATAAAAAAAGAAAAATAAAACCCCAAAGCCAAAAAGACAACTTCAACATTACTATCACTTATGAGAAAGATTCTTATCCATGAGTAATTTCTGCTGATCCCATAGAAAACATTTCTAAAATCCCTAATTTTAAATGGGATCTATAAAAATTTTGCACATCTACCCTCTGCATAACTGAATAGAGCAATTTTATCTACTTTACTTTGTAATAATGTTAGTATGAAACTGACAAGACCACTTTTTCTCAAACAAAAGGTAATTAATTTCCACTCTACATTTCAAAAAGAAAAAATGTACATTTCCCAAATTGTGTCTAGCTGTACCTATGATGTTAATTAAAAATGTAAGTAGAAAGTTCCCAGCATCTGAAGTTACCTCTAATTACTTGCATTTCTATAAACAACCTTGGGAATAAACAACTTTGATTTCCCAGTATGGATTTCTCAAATAATTAATAACTCAAACAGCAAAATATTCTATATTAAAATACAATTTTAGGGGTGCCTGGGTGGCTCAGTCGTTAAGCGTCTGCCTTCGGCTCAGGTCATGATCCCAGGGTCCTGGGATCGAGCCCCACGTTGGGCTCCCTGTTCCATGGGAGGCCTGCTTCTCCGTCTCCCACTCCCCCTGCTTGTGTTCCCTCTCTCGCTGTGTCTCTCTCTGTCAAATAAATAAATAAATAAAATCTGTAAAAAAAAAATACAATTTTAGCCAACTCCCCCCACCAAAAGCACAGATTTTTAAAGGAATAGGTAGGTCATTACAGACTAATTCTGGAAATCTCATCCGATCCAAACTTTGGCTTCAATTCTAGCCTTGCTCTATTACCAACTTTCTGTTGCCTTTATGCTACCAACTATATCAAGTCATGCTTAGTTCTGACAATATTAGAAACACAAGTAGTTAGAATAGGATAGGGATCATAGTTACTTTCATCTTCCAACCCCTGCTACTTGTAAAACTGTGAGAATGGAAAAGTTATATACTCTTAATAAATTAAATTAGTGCCTTCTGGCATGTTATACTTAAGTTAGATGCTTGCCTATTTTTAAGATGACTTTTTTTTTTTTAGGCATCTGTGGGAAAACTAGAATTGCAGAAGTAGGAGGTGTGCCTTACTTATTGCCTTTTGTAAAAAAAGAAAAAGTAAGTGTACTTTTACTTTTTAAATTCACATGAATATTATAAGAAATTGGGTTGATTCCTCTTTTTATTATTAGAAGATCCATTGACCAATATGGCAAGGAAGTGTTAATAGACTCAGTCAAAAAAAGTAAACCAAGAGATTTGTATGAGTTATCATTTAAATAATATTTTTTCTTCTTGCATAGGTTTATGATATAAATAAGATTGCAAAAGAAATCAAGCTTCCTGGAGCTTTTATTCTTGGAGCAGGAGCAGGCCCATTTCAGACTCTTGGGTTCAATTGTGAGGTCAGCATACATATAATTATTTTATTTTATTGATTTGACATTTGGTTTACCTTTTTTCTTTTATTGCCCTATCAGAAATTATGCTTTTTGAATGAATTATAAATACGCGATGTCATCTTTCTTTACAGATGTGATATTGTTTGATATAGATTTGGACTATAGCATATGCTCTAACTATAATGGAGCACTGACCTGGAATTTCAGATTTTCTTAGGGTATACACTCAGTGTTAGATGAGTCTGAAGTCCTAATGTGGTCTGCTGAGGACCATGGATTGTGAAAGATTTTAATCATTACACATCAGAGAATTCCTAGCTTCACTATAAATCTTTCCTTTTGATATGAGAACAGCTTTTGATCAGAAGATGAATGGAATAATTAATGATTTCATTAATTCCCTCTTTCAGACTAAATAGTAAGGACCTACCCCTGTGGTATGATGATTATTTACAAAAGGTACTATTACTGTGTATGTTAGTGTATTTACAACATAAAAACATCACTGTTTCTTCACATCTCTTAAATAGAAGAGTGAAGGACCTCTTCAGACTGCCCATCCCCTCACCTCTTCAGATGTGACCATTAGTCAATAGTCTTGCAAGTTCTTTTGTAGAAAGATTAATATAATTTACCTAGTGTTCAATATAGAAAAAAAAAGTTTAAAATCTAAAGTCAGACATTTTAAAGCCCAATTTACAATGTTACAGAAACACTGTAAGAAATACTGTAAACATTTTATAAAATATTTTTTCAATATTTTGATGTTTGTAAATCTTTAACATTTTGAATCACAAATTAAATATTTCATACTTCATGTTTTCTTACTAGGTCCTGAAAATAAAATATCTTAAGTCAAGGATAAGATATTTTGTTATGTTACTCTAATATTCTCTTTGCATATTGACGCCAGGGTTGACTAATTTACTTTTCTTATTTACTTTTCTTTTCAGTTTATGCCAGTTATACAAACAGAAAGTGAACACAAACCTCCAGTGAATGGAAGTTACTTTGCCCGTGTTAACCCTGCAGATGGAGGGTGCCTACTAGAGAAATACAGTGAGAAACATAATGATTTTGGGTGTGCATTACTGGCTAATCTTTTTGCCAGTGAGGGTCACTCTGGAAAGGTGATTTTTTTTGTTCACAAAAACACAGTATTCTCCAAAAGTTCTCAGATAGCTAAAAAGTTGGACTTTTATTGCCACAAATACAGTTTTCTTAAGAAAAGTCAAAACTAGCTAAGTCAAATTTCTTTAAATAACCCAGTTATGAAAGATTACTATGGTACTATAGGCAAGGAGAAAGTCTTATTTAAAACTGAGGTTAGAATACTTAGTAAGCCAAAAAAAAAAAAAATAGTAAGAGTACCTTTTTTTCTGAGGAATAAAAGGTAACAGAATATTCATGTGGGGAGTGAGTCAAATACATGAGCCATTCAGTTGAAATAAATAGATAGTGCCTACCTGTAGTTAGTCTCTAAGTAATTTGTTCATTCCTGATGGATCAGATGTTGGTTGACCTAGACAGAAATGGTGGTAGTAAAATGTTATAGAAAGGAGGAGGGAAGGAAAATTAATTCTTCACTTCATATGTACTTCCTGTTAGAACACAAAAAGATGATTACAGTGTTAGCAGTTGTGAGAACTCTCAGATTTTTAAATAGAGGTAGCTACTTTAGCTACTTTGGGAAACAAGGTAGTGAATTAAAAAGACTTGATTAAGGAGTCCCTGGATGGCTCAGTTGGTTAAGCATCTGATTCTTGATCTCAGCTCAGGTCTTGATCTCAGGGTTGTGTGTTCAAGCCTTGTGATGGGCTCTGTGCTGGGTGTGGAGCCTACTTTAAAAAAAAAAAAAAGACCTAATTAAGTGGAAGTAATACAAGTCCAGAATTTTAAGGGAAAGGAAAAAATGTAATCACTTTCTCTTCCCATCTGAATTACCAGAGGTTAACCCCTTTAAGCCAGGGATTCTCAACTTTTAACCACTTTAATATAAAAAGATAAGAATCTCTAGAGCTCAGTGGAAGACTTCACTGTAACTCTAAGCATGAATAAGACTTATTAGAGTAAATGACAACTTATCATATATATAAAATATATATCATTGATCAAGACAGGATTGAGACATCTCACTCAACTCCTGTGTGGGTCTTCTAAGCAAATTTGCTTGATGGCATTAGATTATGTGTTTCACTTTGATAGTTATTCACATAGAATTTTGCAGCTTAGAACAATGGTATGCATATTTATGTTCTCTCTAGGTCATTGAGGTGAAAGCCAAAAGAAGAACTGGAAAACTTAACTTTGTGACTTGTATGAGACAGACTCTTGAAAAACATTATGGAGATAAACCTGTAGGGATGGGAGGCACTTTCATAATTCAGAAGGGAAAAGCGAAGACTCACATAATGGTAAGGGCCTTCGTGTATGTGCGTGCATGTGTATGTGGGTATGTATGTGCACATACTGAAGATCTTAGGATTTTTTAATATACATCGAGAATTCTACCCTTAGAGACACCTGAATACTTTTACTATGATTGTATTACTTTAAAACTTAAATGGCAAACAATGCTTTAAATCACACTGTGAGATAATATCTTAAGTAGGGTCCTTTTTTCATGTTAATAAATTAGAACTTTCTTTTCATTGTGTTTGTTTTTAAGATCTAGAGAGATGTGAGTATAAGCCTTAGACATGGATTATCATTTTTATTGCCAGAATCCCAAACTCCATACATAGATTTTGCTATTAAGATGGTTGTGGTGGGGTGCCTGGTGGCTCAGTCAGTTGAGCATCCAACTCTTGTTATCAGCTCAGGTCATGATCTCAGGTTGTGAGATTGAGCCCAGCATCGGGCTCCATGCTGGACATGGAGCCTGCTTGTGATTCTCTTTCTCCCTCTCCCTCTGGCCCTCAGCATCCCTCCCTCTCTCTCCCTCTCTCTCATTCTCAAAAAAAAAAAAAAAAAAAAGATGGTTGTTTTGGGAAAAGGACACATTATGAGAATTATAATCTTATGGGCTAATTGCACAAGTTTGTAAGACATTAAGAATGGAATACATATAAAGCAAGACCTAGGACATTCAGGTTTTAAAAAAAATTTTTTGGAATGAATGAATGAATGAATAGTATAAAAGTCATTAAACTTAATTTCCTTTTCATTTTATCAGTAAAATCATCAAAAAATGTTTGATTTTAATGTTTTTTATCCTGATAATTTTATTTTTATTGTATTTTTTAAAATATTTTATTTATTTATTTTAGAGAGAGAGACAGAGAGACAGAGAGAGCATGTGTGCAAGCAGAGGGAGGGGCAGAGGGAGAAGGAGAGAGAGAATCCCAAGCAGACTCCGTGCTGAGCAGAGAGCCCAACGTGGGGCTCAGTCCCACGACCCTGAGATCACAACCTGAGCCGAAATCATGAGTCAGATGCTTAACTGACTGAGCCACCCTGGCACCCCATCTTGATAATTTTAAATGGCAAGCCAGCTGATTTTGCAAAGAAAAACACAACATTGTGAAAATACTTAATTTTCCAAATTATTAAAAACAGAATTATAGATAAATATTTTTGTGAATACCAAATAATTATAGGAATTTTAAATATGCAAGTATACAATACTTCATTACTAACTACAGGCATATTTTATTTTATTGTGTTTCACATTATTGCAATCCACAGATACTGCATTTTTCCTAAATTGAAGGTTTGTGGCAACACTGCATCAAGCAAGTCTTTTGGCACCAATTTTCCAACAGCATTTGCTCACTTCCTGTCTCTGTATCACATTTTGGTAATTCTCGCAATATTTCAAACTTTTTCATTATTATATTTGTTATTGTGATCTGTGATCAGTGATCTTTGACATAACTATTGTAATTGTTTTGGGGCACCACAAACCACATCCATATAAGATGGACAACCTAACCAGTTGGTATGTTGGTATGTTTTGACAGTTCGACCAACCGGCCATTCTCCTGTCTCTGTCCCTCTCCTTGGGCCTTCCTATTCCCTAAGACACAACAATATTGAAATGAGGCCAGTTAATAACACTACAGTGGCCTCTAAGTCTTCAAGTGAAAGGAAGAGTCGCACTTCTTTCACTTTAAATTAAAAGCTAGAAATGAGGGGCGCCTGGATGGCTCAGTTGTTAAGCGTCTGCCTTCAGCTCGGGTCATGGTCCCAGGGTCCTGGGATCGAGCCCTGCATCGGGCTCCCTGCTCAGCGGGAAGCCTGCTTCTCCCTCTCCCACTCCCTCTGCTTGTGTTCCCTCTCTCACTGTGTCTTTCTCTGTCAAATAAATAAATAAAATCTTTAAAAAATAAAAATAAAAACAAAAAAATAAAAGCTAGAAATGATTTAGCTTAGTGAGGAAGGCATGTCAAAAGCCAAGAAAGGCCAAAAGCTAGACCTCTTACCCAAACAGTAAAGTTGTAAATTCAAAGGAAAAGTTCTTGAAGGAAATTTAGAAGTGTTAGTCTAGTGAATACACAAATGATAAGAAGCCATATTGCTGCTGTGGTTAAAGTTTTAGTGGTCTGGATAGAAGATCAAACCAGCCACAACATTCCCTTAAGCCAAAGCCTAATCCAGAGCAATCCTATAAAAGGCTGAAAGAGGTGAGGAAGCTGCAGAAGAAAAGTCTGAAGCTAACAGAGGTTGGTTCATGAGGCTGAAGGAAAGAAGCTGTCTCCGTAACATACAAACAGAAGGAGAAGCAGAGCGTGCTGAAGTAGAAGCTACAGCAAGTGATCCAGAGGCCTAGCTAAGGTCATTACTGAAGGTGGCTACACTAAACAACCGATTTTCAGCATAGACAAAACAGCCTGCTATTGGAAGAAAAACCATCTAGGACTTTTATAGCTAGGGAGGAGAAGTCAGTGCCTGGCTTCAAAGCTCCAAAGGACAGGCTGACTCTCCTGTTAAGGGCTAATGCAGCTGGTGACTTGAAGTTGAAGCCAATGCTCATTTACCATTCTGAAAATCGTAGGCCCCTAAGAATTATGCTAAATCTACTCTGCTTGTTTTCATCAATGGAACAACAAAGCCAGATGGTAGCACATCTGTTTACAACATGGTTTGCTGAATATTTTTAGCACACTGTTGAAACCCACTGCTCAGAAAAAAAGTACTCCTTTCATGCTCATTGACAATGTACCTGGTCACCCAAGAGCTCTGATGGAGACACACCACGAGATTAATGTTTTCATGCCCGCTAACACAACATCCATGCTGCAGCCCATGGATCAAGGAGTAATTTCAACTTTCAAGTCTTATTATTTAGGAAATATATGTCATAAGGTTATAGCTGCCGTAGATATCTGGCAGCTCAGGGCAAAGTCGATTGAAAACATTCTGGAAAGATTTACCATTCCAGATGTTATTAAGAACATTTGTAAGGGGTGCCTGGGTGGCTCACTTGGTTAAGCATCTACCTTTGGCTCAGGTCATGATCTCAGGTACTGGGATCGAGCCATCAGGCTCCATGCTCAGCGGAGAGCCTGCTTCTCCCTTTCCCTCTGCCTGCCACTCCCCCTGCTTGTGCGCACGCTCTGTCAAATAAATAAAATCTTTTTTTTAAAGATTTTATTTATTTGACAGAGACACAGCAAGAGAGAGAACACAAGCAGGGGAGGTGGGAGAGGGAGAAGCAAGCAGGCTTCCCGCAGAGCAGGGAGCCCGATGAGGGGCTCAATCCCAGGACCCTGAGATCATGATCTGAGCCGACGGCAGACACTTAACAACTGAGCCACCCAGGTGCCCCAGTCAATAAAATCTTTAAAAAAAAAAAATTTGTGATTCAAGGGTAGAGGCCAAAATAACATAAATAGAAGTTTGGGAGGGGTTGATTCCAACCCTCATGGATGACTTTGAGCGGTTCAAGACTTGAGTGGAGGAGGTCACTTCAGATGTGGTGGATATAGTGAGAGAACTAGAATTACAAGTGGAACTGAAGATGTGACTGAATTCCTTCAATCTCATGATAAACTTTACCAGATGAGGAGTTGCTTCTTATGGATGAGCCAAGAAAGTGGTTTCTTGAGGTGGAATCTACTCCTGGTGAAGATACTGTAGAGATTGTTGAAATGACAACAAAGGGTTTAGAGTATTACATGAACTTAGTTGCTAAAGCAGCTATAGGGTTTGAGAGGCTTGACTCCAGTTTTGAAAGTTCTCCTGTGGGTAAAATGCTACTGAACAGCATCGCATGCTACAGAGAAATCATTAGTGAAAGGAAGAGTCAGTTGATGTGGCAGACTTCATTGTCTTATTTTAAGACATTGCCACAGCCACCCCAGCCTTCAGCAACCACCACCCTGATCACTCAGCAGCCATCAACACTGAGGCAAGACCCTCCACCAGCAATAAGTTTATGACTTGCTGAAAGCTCAGATGATTGTTAGCATTTTTTAGCAATAAAGTGTTTTTAAATTAAGGTATGTACATTTTTTTAGATGTAATGCTACTGCACACTTAAAAAGCTCCAGTATAGTGTAAACATCACTTTTATATACACTGGGAAACCAGAACATTCATTTGACTTGCTCTATTGCATATTCACTTTATTGCAGTGGTCTGGAACAAAACCCACAATATCTCCAAGGTATGCCTGTAGTTACCATAATGTACATCATATCTCTAAAACTTACCCATCTTAGAACTGAAAAGTTTTTGTACCATTTGAGCAATACCTCATTTTCCCCACCCCCAGCCCCTGGCAACCATGATTCTAGTCTCTTTCTCTAAGTTGGACTCTTTAGATTCCAATAAGTGATACCATGCAATATTTGTCTGCATGTGGCTTATTTCACCCTGTTCTCCACGTTCATCCCTGTTGTCACAAATTGTGGGATTTCCTTCCTTTTTAAGCCTGAAAAACATTCCTCATATGTATTTATCACAATTTTATATACATGCACACACATATATATAATTAAATCACACACACACACACACACACACACATATAAAAAACAATTTCTTTATCCATTCATCCACTGATAGATATACCCAGAAGTGGGAGAAGTGGGATTACTGGATCATATGGTTCTATTTTTTGAGGAACTTTCATATCATTTTCCATAACGATTGTACCAGTTTACATACCTACTAATAGCATACAAGCGTCCCCTTTTCTCCACATCCTCCCCATCTCTTGTTTTTTGTTTTTGTTTTTTTGATAATAGCTATCCTCACAGGAGTGAGGTGTGATATCTCATGGTTTTGGTTTGCATTTTCCTGATGATGAGTGGATATGAGCACTTTTTCATATACCTCTTGGCCATTTGTATGTCTTCTTTGGAGAAATGTCTAATTCAGTTCCTTTGTTTTTTAATTGGGTTGTTTTTTTGCTATTGAGTTGTATGAGTTCCTTGTATATTTTGGATATTAACCCCTTACTGGATATATGGTTTGCCAATATTTTTTCCCATTCCATAAATGGTCTTTTAATTTTGTTGATTGTTTCCTTTACGGTGCAGAAATTTTTAATTTGATGTGGTCCCACTTGTTTATTATTCCTTTTGTTGCCTGTGCTTTTGATGTCAAATTTAAGAAATTATGGTGAAATCCAATGGCATGAAACTTTTCCCTGTGTTTTCTTCTGTTATACTTTAGCTCTTACCGTTAGGTCTTTGATCCATTTTGAGTTAATTTTTGTATACATATAAATTAAGGGTCCAGTTTCATTCTTTTGCACATCAATATCCAGTTTTCCCAACACCATTTTTTGAAGACTATCCTTTTTCCATTGAATGGTCTTGATATCCTTACTGAAAATTATTTGCTGTATATGCAAGGGTTTATTTCTGGGATCTCTATTCTATTCCACTGATCTTAATGCCATTGTCACTGTTTTGATTACTTGTAATAAGTTTGATATCAGGAAGTATTAGACTTCCAACTTTCTTTTTTCTCTCAAGATCGGTTTGGCTCTTCAGGGTCCTTTGTGATTCCATATGAATTTTATGATGGATTCTTCTCTATTTCTGCAAAAAACTTTGGGATTTTGATAAGGATGGCATTGAATCTTTAGATCACTTTTGGTAGTATTAACATCTTGACAATATTAAGTTCAATTCATTAACACAGGATATTTTTTCATTTATTGGAATCTTTTTATCCTATTTTTTTTTTAAGATTTTAGAGAGTGCACATGTGAGCGCATATACGAGTGTGGGGAGGGGGAAGGGAGAGGGAGAGAAGCAGACTCCCTGCTGTGCCCTCAGGGCTCCTTGTGGTGCTCCTTGCCACCCTCATAGTGGGGTTCCACAGGGGAGGAGGGCTCAAGGGGTCGATGGGGGGCTGCAGATGGGGCTTGAATAAGGACTTGATTTCCAGACCCTGAGATCATGACCTGAGCCGAAATCCAGTTGGTCACCCAAAAGACTGAGCTACCCAGGTGCCCCTATTGGAGTGTCTTTAAATTTCTTTCAGCAATGCTTTTAGTACAGGTTTTTTGCCTCCTTGATTAAGTTTATTCCTTAGTATTTTATTCTTTTTGATGCTTCTACCAATTTCTAATGCCTTGCTTCCCCCTCCCCCCACCCATCTACCAGTAGCAGTAATGAGATTTAAAATTAGGATGAGGATATATTTCCAGGAAAACTGAGAGGCTATGAAAAATAAAAAGATAGTAATAGATTCATTCCTTCATTCATTCATTCATACATTTTAGCTTATACACTTGATTGGTGATCCTTTTGAAAACTAGGGTATGTAATTTGTTTTGATTCTAAAAATAATTAAATGTATAAGAAGGCTTAAATTTTTAACTTCATGAAGTTATATATAATTTAAAAGTTTAATTCTCAATAATATTCTATATATTTAGAATGATCTTTTATTGTAGCCCACAGAATTTTCTTCCTGCCCATTGAACTCTGATGAAGAGGTGAATAAATGGTTGCACTTTTATGAGATGAAAGCTCCTTTGGTTTGTCTGCCAGTTTTTGTCTCCAGAGACCCAGGGTTTGATTTGAGATTGGAGCACACTCATTGTTTTAGTCATCATGGAGAAGGTGGACACTACCATTATGATACTACCCCAGACACAGTGGAATATCTTGGATACTTCCTGCCTGCGGAGTTTCTGTATCGCATCGATCAACCAAAAGAGACCCATTCATTTGGGCGAGATTAAATCAAGTGAAACAGAAATAATTAACTAAAGCTAATTAATTAATGCATTAATTGATACTACTATAAAATCCAATAGAAATAATCTCACTACTTAAATCCCATTTTTTGGCCTTTAACTGAAAGGTATGTTGACATTTAAACTCTTATTTCATGGAACTATCTTAGAGATTTTTGGAAACAAATATATGTAATGAAAATGTTCTTCATTATTTTTTTATTCTTTAATAACAACAAAATCATGTGATTTATTCCTACTGTCTACTGGCAATAACTTACATTTGTATAACATTATTAAATTTTTCAAATTAGTCTCACAACTCCTAAGTGGATGTTTCTGGGTATTAGAAAAATAAGTGTTGCAAATGTTGATAGTTGTTGAATCTTAGTACTAAATTTTAAAAATCCATTTCAGAAATCAGAGTATACTTTTTTTCATGGAATAAGGTGGGCAGAGGAAGCAACTTTACCCCTTTTGGTGGGGTTGAACCATACTCAGAAGTTTGCAGTTTGCCTTTCATAAACATTGGCAACTAGGTAGTAGACCATGATGCCACTGCCTTTGTTTAGCTTGCCAGTTGGAAGCAGTTTGTACCTTATGGGTTATTTGCCAGAAGGAAAGGGAAAAGAAACAGCATCAAAATACAGCACTGAAGTGAGTATACTTTAATTTACAAGTGAAGCTATTGCTAAACATGACCACTGTCCTTTGTAAAATAAAAAATTATACTATTTTACTGATTGTAATTATTGAAATTTTCCCCGATATTCTTCTATAATAATCATTAGTCATAAATCAACTGTCTAATCTTAATCTTGCTAATGCTAACCATGTGTAAATTTAGGAGCTCTTTAATACCAAACACATATTAAATCTTCAAAAACTATTTTTTGATTGTCTTCTTTGGATGTTACCTATAACATGTCCTGTCAGTATAAATTCCTAAATGTTATTTTTAAATAAGCACCAGTTTGAAGCAAAAAAAAAAAAAAAAAGAATAAAAATTTTATATTCACAATATAATGTTTCTTTTTAATATCTTACCTCCAGACAGAAAAAAATATTACTGTTTATTGGTTTAACAAAAGCGTATTGGACACCTACTCTGCCCACTGGAATGTAAGCTCCATGAGGGTAAGGGCTTTGTTTACCAGTGTAGCACTAATGCCTTTAACAGTGCCTGGCTAAAGCAGGCATTCAGTAAATATTTGTTGAATGAATGAGTATGTGGAAGATTATGCCAGATGCTTCACCAGATGCTGGGCTCTTATCATTCAGTCATTTTATATAGTGGAGGAAAACTCACAATAAATATATAATATGACAGGTGGTATTAAGTCCTATGAAGGAAAATAAAGCACAGGATGGACTGTAAAGGAGGATGCTATTTTGTTGTGTCCATCTCACATGAGACAGGATGAACTCATCACCCAAAATTCGGTTGGGATGTCAAGAAGGATAAAGTCACACATACCCCAACAGGGTATGAAAGGATTTACTGCTCGCATAATGAGGCTTTCTGGGGAAAGCTGGACAGCTCCCAAGCAGATCCAAAACTGGCTTGAGAGAACAGGGAAAGGAGACTGGCTTGGGGTTTTTATGGTGGTGAAGGGTTAGGGCCAGGGTGATGATTCTATATGCAGTTTAAATTTCCCACAAGTGTCAAAGGAGCAGCCAGGCTTATCAGCTTGTTCAAATATGGAGCAGAATGGGAAGAGGGAGGAATAATGCTTAAAAGCTGTCAGCAGTCAAACATAAAAAATGGAATCAGACTGTTTATTACACATATATAGGGAGATCAGGAAAAGACTCTGATAAAGAGACATTTTAGCAGAGACCTGAAAGAAATGAGAAAGTGAATCATGAAGTTATTTGGAGAAACATCCTTCCTGGCAGATTTAAAAGTCCAGAGGTAGGGGACTTTGTATGTTTAAGAAACAGTAGGGTGCCTGGGTGGCTCAGTCGGTTAAGTATCTGCCTTTGGCTCAGGTCATGATCCTGGAGTCCTGGGATCGAGTCCCACATTGGGCTCCCTGCTCAGCGGGGAGCCTGCTTCTCCCTCTGTCCTTTACCCTGTGTGTGCTCTCTCTCACTGTCTCTCTCTCAAATAAATAAATAAAATCTTAAAGAAAAAAAAAGAAACAGTAAGGAGGTTGTTGTGAACAAAATAGGATCCCCTGATTCTATGCAGCTAACACCTAGTGCATGCTCTAAGAAGCAGTTTTGTAAATGCTATGTATTTACAAAGTTATATGTTAATGCCATACACACTTTAAAATTAGAAATATGATGGGGTACCTGGCTGGCTCAGTTGATAGAGCTTGTGACTCTTGATCTTGGGGTTGTAAATTCGAGCCCCTTGTTGGGTATACAGATTACTTAAATAAAATATTTTAAAAAAAGAAATGTGACAAGTATGCCTAATATCATCAACGATTGGAGGTTCTAGCCAGGAAAAGCAAGGAAGAAAGAATAACAACTGAAAAGGGAGGAATTTTGGCAGAAAACATGATTGATTGATTCTTTAAAAAACCCAAGAGAGTTTATAGTGGAATTATTAGACTGAGTTCAAGAAGATTCTAAAATATAAAGTCAATGTATAATAATAAGTTGCATTTCTTCATTACCACTAAGAAATAGTTAAAAATATAAATTTGAAAAGGATATCAATTATAATGTTATCAAAAGTACTTTAACAAAGATTATATAAGTCATCATGGAGAAAATTACAAAACTGTTGAAAACCTAAAAACATGCAAAATAAATATATCTAGGAAAATACAGTATCATAGAAGCATCACAAGCATTTCTTGTCAATTCCATGCCAGTCTAATTCTAGTAGGGCTTTTCATAGAACAAGTTGATTCTAAAATATGGGATAGCAAAGGGCCAAGATTAAACAAAGATTTATCAAGACAGCAAGGTCAGGGGTATTTGATATATAGATACCAAAATTTATAAACTTATTAAAGTAAGAGTGTGGTTTTGGTACAGTGATGGACAATCAGACCCAATAGAATAGAAAATCATTTCCAGTTTCTGTTGAAAGCCTTTCATCCATTTTCATCTAACATTACTGATCAGTTATTTTAAAGTTCTTGCCTACCATCTCCAATGTTTTGATCATCCATGGATACGTCCCTGTTGTTTTAGGTTTAGATTATCAGTCATTCTTGCCTGCCTTTTTACATATCTACAACTACTACTACCATTATATGCTGGATATTGTGTGTTCTAGGTATCTTCCACTGATGAGGGTTTCTACCTTTCTTTCTTTTGTAAGGTACATAAAGTGAGAGACTGATTTCCTCAGTGTAATCAGAGATTGAGCTGGGTTGGGTTAGGGTCGCATTTTAAATAAGACTCAGGCCACCTCTACTTAGAGCCTGTTATTCCATGTGTTCCTTGGAGTTTTAATTGAGATCCTAGCAGATCTCTGTCTCCTCAGCCTTGAAAGATGGTAGGGGGGTTCATTTCTTCCCTTAGGAAGATTTGAGCTCCATGAACCCTCAAAATCTGACAAATAATTTTCATAGAACACTTCCCTTTAAACAGGACTTAGTCTCATATATCTGAGTCTGCAGAAGACTTAACTGTTTTTTATACTTAGATCTTTAATTCAATTGGAATTTTTATTTATGGTGTGAGATGGGGGAATGTAACTGGATTATTTTCCATATGTGACAGATTGTTGGCCTTGTTCCTCCCTTTATCCACACCCCTTTCCCTGCAACTCTGCAGTTCCTCCAACTGAAAAGAGTGTCCTCTCTCCCATCCTTGACTTTTAGGCTTGGTCATGAGCCATGTGGATGAAAGACATGTAATGCAGGCAAAGCTTCCCTCTTGTACCTCTGCCATCACCATAAGAACATACCCTGAACAGCTTGCTAGTCGAGAGACACATGGTACAGAGTTATCTGAATGACCTGTAGCCCTAGATCGTGAAGTAGAACCCACCAGCTGAGCCCAGCCTAGATTCTGATTCTCAGGTGTGTGCCCTAACCCAGATGAGATAGCAGATGCCAGGGCCAAAATGCAGAAGGACGAGAACCTTAAAAAGATGAAATAAGAAATACGATTAAAACACTTAGCATAGTGATGGGCTCAGATAGAGCCAACAATAAATACTAATCAAATTTTAAAGTGTTAAAACCTTTTACAAACTTATACATAAAGAATACAGTGGGTTCTCAAACATGATTGTGCAAAAGAATCCCTGTTGAGCTTGCCAAAAAATAGGTCTCTCTTGAAAATTCACATTCCCAACACACATTGTTTTGGTAGAGGCTGACACCAGCACAATACTATTTTCCTAAATACCTTAGGAAAGTAATTCAAAAACTTAAATAATATCTTGGTCAGTACAAAACTTGAAAAGACTCATGACTGATGTGAGGCCACAAATGATCAGAAAAGAAGTCTTGAGAGGCACCTGGGTGACTCAGTTAAGCATCTGATTCTTGATTTCAGCTCAGGTCATGAACTCAGGGTCATGAGAGCCCTACCTCGGGCTCCTTACTAAGCATGGACTCTGCTTAAGATTCTCTCCCTCTCTCTCTCTCTTTCTCTGCCCCTCCCCCCCCACTCTCTGTCTCTCTCAAAGAAAGAAGAAAGAAAGAGAAAGAAAGAAAGAGAAAGCAAGAATTCTTGAGACATTTTCTCTGCAAAAAGGTGCTTTTTTTATAGCACAGGGACAGGACCTGTGGGCAGGAGCTGCACTTCTGCTGTGTGAAGCTGGTGGTTCTAAACTTAGTGCTCAAGGGGGAGGGGACATGTAGGAGTATTAGATCATAAATGTCTTCTTCAAATTTCTACTTGTAAAACTACGTTTGCAAGATTTCTCTGGTGCTTATCAATCAGCTCCATATTAACTATGGGTGAGATGTAAAGGCAGTCAATGAGACCCTTTAAGAATGTAGGAGGGGGTGGGGGGATGGGTTAGCCTGGTGATGGGTATTAAAGAGGGCACGTATTGAATGGAGCTCTGGGTGTTATACGCAAACAATGAATCATGGAACACTACCTCAAAAACTAATGATGTATGGTGATTAACATAACATAATAAAATAAAATTTAAAAAAAGAACAGACTAAGAAAAAAAAAAGAATGTAGAAGCCAGCACCTGTTTGATCCTTATCAAAGCTATGCAGGCTCTAGGTCAGCCTTTTGGGCTGATGGTAAACATTTTTCTGCTTCTATCCCTCATCAATGATAAATGGGTGGCTCAGCCCGTTAAGGGTCTGCCTTTGGCTCAGGTCGTTTTCAGGGTCCTGTAATCCAGCCCCGCATCAGGCTCCCTACTCAGCAGGGAGTCTGCTTCTCCATCTCCCTCTGCTGCTCCACCCAGCTCATGCTCTCTCTCTCTCTCTCCCCCCTCAAATAAATAAATAAATCTTTAAAAAAAATGATATATACATAATTCCTTAGAGTTTTGTAATATAAAATAATCTATCCTCCTCTGTGGAATTAATACTAATGACATACTCTTGGGGACTCAGACTGAAGTTACACTATTTCTTCTTAATCTTTTAAAGTATTTACTTATTCTTAGTTACTGAGGCATGAAATAAAAATTAAGCTCGTATTACGTGCCAGTTTCTATTATGCTTCCTGGAGATAGTCGCTGTCCAGGAGGTTACAACTTAACAGCAAAACAGATAACGCTAATTATGCAGTAATGATAAGCACGATTTATGTTTTTCCCCAAATTACGTCCTTATTTTATAACTCTGCAGACATGTTTCTTTAGGTGTACACCCTCGAATCTCAACATTGTCAGAGGGCCTCTCATTGCTAAGACCCAGGGACACATTCACTTCCTTTTCCCTACTTTTCGCCGTCTTCAGCTTTCCATACTCCAACACCACAAGCAAGTTAATCCTTTAAAATGCAGACGGACACCACGGACCAGCCAATCCACGCCCTCGGCACGGGGATCCCTCCCCCTCTTCCTCCCTCCCGCTGCTGGCCACGCCTCCTACAGACCAGGAAGTTTTTCCCGACGCAGCGCTAGGAAAACCGGAAGCGCTCCCCCGGAAGCCCGGAGCGCCGGCGCCTGCCAGTTGGCTTCCGGGAGACTCCGAGCCGGAGCAGGGAACTGCAGTGCATTCTGGGAAAGTCGCTTGGTCCTCGGCTTTGTGTCCCGCCCCACCGCAGGGTTTGGTATTCCGAGGTGAGCGGAGGCACCGCGGTTCCCGGCTTGCGGGCTCTCTTTGGAGGCGCCTCTGTTTCCCACCTCGGGTTTTGGCTTGCGCAGGGGATCCTCCCGACGCCGCTAGCATGTCTGGAGTGCGCGCTGTGCGGATCAGCATCGAGTCGGCCTGCGAGAAGCAGGTCCAGGAGGTCGGCCTGGATGGCACTGAGACGTACCTGCAGCCGCTGTCCATGTCGCAGAACCTGGCGCGCCTGGCCCAGCGGATCGACTTCAGCCAGGGTTCGGGCTCCGAGGAGGAGGAGGCGGCGGGCGCCGAGGGCGACGCGCAGGACTGGGCGGGCGCCGGGTCCAGCGCGGACCAGGACGATGAGGAAGGTAAGGCCCGTGTGTGCCGCTCGAGTCCGACGGCTGGTCTGAGGGCCCGGGTACCCGCCCAGGTATTGCCACTCTCGCTCTCCCGCGCTGGGCGAGATGCGATGCGTGGGCGAACTTTGAAAACACCCGTGCGGAATAGTGATCGTGCTCACTGGGGTCTTTTCACAACTGGACAATTGAGGGCGCTGCCTGCCTCTTAATACTCCTTATCCTTCTGCACGGTTTCTTGAGTTGGAGCATTTGAGACACTGTCACTGATGAAGTCTGTAATGTGGCACATTTGGTTAAGAGGCCTGCGGTTCATATCTCTGCTGTGCCACTTACTGTCCGAGTTACTTTGCTTCCCTGTGCAATGGGGATGATGCTAATAACACCTGCTGAAAAGAGGGAGGTCTGTATTGACCGGACTATGAGGTAAGGTCTGAGAGGTGGGCGGGGGCCAAATCATGCCGAGCCAGTAGACCAAGATAAGCATTTGGGTTTTATTAGAAGAACAACTGATAGCTTTTGGAAGGATTTTAAGTAGACAGGTGATTGTATGTTAAAAAGATTACTCAGGATCCTATGTAGCAAGTGGGTTACAGGGAAAGCAAAACTGAAAGGAGGGAGACTAGTTAGGAAAGAATAGTAGAAAAAGTATGAGTGGGTTTTGGATTCTCAATATTGTCAGGGATAAAAAATACAATTCTTGATTTGGGTATGTGGGACAGACCCTGTGTAAACAGGGATTTAAAGATGGATTTTTGAGCCAGTGGTGATAGGACAGTTGGGGGTCCATTAGGAAATAAAAAATAAATACTATCTCATACTTCACACTTCGGATTACTTCCACAATGATTGAAATGCCAATGAAGAGAATAAAATAAAGATTGGAAGGAAGTTATAAAGAACTCTGGGAGCAGAAGAGACCTTAAGCAAGATAGGAAACATAGAAATTATAAAGCCAGAGAGAGTAATTACATAAAATTTTAAAATAATAATGGAAAAAGATGCCACGAATAAAGTAAGAAAATAATGAGAGACTGGGAAAAGTACTGGCAGCATATAGGACATAGTGGTTGCAATCCCTGATGTTCAAAGATTCCCTGCAGACTGGGGGGAGAAAAGAGGACTCAGTGGAAAAATAGCCCGAAGGTATAAACAGCTCACTGAAAAAGATTTCAGATGTTACTAGTAGGAAGAGGCAGATTAAAACATCATTAAAACACTATTCTCATGCATAACATTGGCAGCAACTTAAAAGACTTAATATCCGTGTTTGGAATGTGAATTGGTAAAACCTTTTTGGAAGACAGTTTAGCTGTTTAATATGTGTCAAAAGTATTAAATGTGCATTTCCTTTGACCCACTAAATGACAGCTAGGAATTTAACCTACACAAAAAGCTATACACGTATACAGATGTGTGTTCAACGTGTTTACCACTACTAGCATTAGTGAAACCAACGTACATGTCCATTAAGTAGGAATGGTTAAACTTATTGTACATACATGCTCCAGAATGTCAAACAGTGTTAAAGAATGAAATAGATCTATATGTGCTGGCATGGAAGTATCTCTAGGATATAATAATTGGAGAAAAAAGCAAGTAATAGAAGAACAGAAGTAAATGTATTGAAAAACATATATTAAGAGGAGAAAATTGGGGGTGGGGAATAAAGGAAAAGTTTTACTTTTTTACTCTGTGACTCTATTTGAACTCTATACAGTGAACATGTATTGGTGAAAATTAACGAAATGATTTAAGAGGTTGGAAGGCATGTTAACATTGTTTAGTATCTGAATGCTGCTGTTATAGGTCATTTTTATTTTTGTACTTTAATGTATTTTGGAAATTCCAATTATTCAGGTTTTAAAAGCTGGAAGAAAAAGGTTATTTGCATAAATTTAAAAAATACTGAAATGCTTACCTATAATTTGGAATGTTAGATTTAAGCTGTGGAAATTAGATACCATATTTGTTTTGCCATTGTAGGAATGCTAACTTAAATATTTACAGAGATTCAAGAAAGGGTGGACAGAATGGGATAAAACAGGAAATGATTTGAAATAGAAAGTCATTGTTTCTTCTTTTAGTACTTGTAACATCTAAATGAGATTTGTCTTCTAGTAGTGTAACTAATACCTATGAATTTCTTTTTTTCTTTTTTTTTTAGGGTTGGTAAAATTTCAACCTTCCCTTTGGCCTTGGGACTCAGTGAGGAACAATTTGAGAAGTGCCCTGACAGAGATGTGTGTTCTCTATGATGTCCTCAGTATTGTTAGGGATAAAAAATTTATGACGCTTGATCCGGTCTCTCAGGATGCACTTCCTCCAAAACAGGTATGTGTGGGCTTCAGTTGAATAATGGTACCATTTTATTAAGTCCCAGGATCACTTCTCAGGCTGTGTGCCTACTGTCTCCTTTTCCTTTCATGCAAAATTAAGTCCAGACAAAGATTTAAAGACTAACCGGTTCAAAGCAAAGGCATAAAACAGCATCTCCTTTATTTATTATTTTATTAATGGCCCTGTGACCCTCAGAAGAATTAAGTTTCATTAGTAATGTAATACTTTAAAGTATCCCAGATCTTTTTTTTTTTTTTTGAAGATTTATTTATATATTTTAGAGAGAGGGATTGAGAGCAGGAGCTCGGGGAGGAGCAGAGGGAGAGGGACAAGCAGACTCCATGCTGAGCATGAAGCCTGTCGTGGGGCTTGATCTCATTACCCTGAGATCACGACCTGAGGCAAAACTAAGAGTCAGCTGCCCAACCGACGGAGCCACCCAGGTGCCCCTAAAGTTTCCGAGATCTTAACAAATTCTTACAGCCTGGATCATTGATCTGTAGTGTGTTACACAAAAACATGATGGTAAATATGGCTTTGGAGTCAGACCGACCTGGGTGTTCAAATCCTGCCTCTGCCCTCATCAGCCCTGGGTCCTTCAACAAGTGATTTTCTTGAAGTCTCCGTTTTTCCCTTCAACCTCTTTTTAGGGCCTGGTTAGAAAAATTAGGCCAAATTATGGAAGCTACTGAAAGCTAGGTAAAATTGTTGAAGTTTGATAAAGAGCATGTTCAGTTTTTGAACATTAGAAGATGAAAGAGAGACAACAGAAGGATGAATTGGTGAATGAAAAGCCTGAGACCAGGGAGGCCACCTAGGAGGTTCTTGAGGAAAACGAGCATCAGGTCCATGACCAAGTTAGTGGCAAGGAGAGGAAGTAACGGTTGTTTTTACCCTTTTGTAAGTTAAGTGAATTGAATATAATTACTCATGTGGTAATAGTTTCAGAATCTAGAAACACTGTGCTGGAAGACTTCTTAGAGACCATTCAGTCTGGTTCCTTCGTTTTATGGAGAGAAAACAGGCCCAGAGAGTTGTGTGATGTGTCCAGAGGCAGTAAAGCCAGTAGTTAGAGAGCCAAGACAAGAACTCTCGTCACCTTATTCCTAGCCCACAGCCCTTGCCACCTTCGTGTGCTCTGCCCACCCACGGGTCTCCAGGAACTTCCTGAGCTCGCCAAAAACTTAGAATTAGGTCCCCTGATATGGTCAGAAGATTGTGACATCTTATGAGACTTGGTGATTTTGACTCATGCAGTCAGAAGACTTTCTCGTATTAAATTTGTCTTTTTAGAAGTGTATCTGGTGACTAGAGTACACAGATTGGTGGGGATTATGGATATTTATGTTTATATAATATATAGATTATGATTTCTCATCAGTTTTCCAAAAATCAGCCTGTGGTGAAGTGCATTAATTTTAATGCTGTGTGCTTCAGTCTTTTTTCCAAAGGCACATTAGTAGCTTGCCATGATATAAGATAATTTTACAGCTGGACTCATTGGGGTCATTTATTTATCCCAGAAATCAAGTATTATGTGCTGGGCATTGTTCTAGGGTCTGTGGATATAGTAGGTTTAACCATCATGTGGATGACCTTCAAGCAGGGATTACAGACTTTCGTCAGAAGTATAATGAGCGCCACAAAGGGTATACACATGGGTGGGGGTGGGCATGCGCACAGTGTGAGAGGGGAACCTCATCTAAGCTGGGCAGAGTTGGGGTAGGTTCTGATTTGTAGTCCAGTGTGGTGTTTGGTTTAACATAAGTTTATTGGAGTTGACCAGAGAAGTAGGTTAAGGTTATTTTTCAAAAAACAGTGTTACCTGCTTTTCTTTAATTTCTTAATTTTCTTTTGAGTAGGTATTTTATTATTAAGAGAATGTTGAGATCATTTAAAAATACAGAACTACGCTACTGTTTTTGATAGAATCCACAGACACTGCAGTTGATATCGAAAAAGAAGTCGCTCGCTGGAGCAGCACAGATCCTGTTGAAAGGGGCAGAAAGACTGACCAAATCAGTTACTGAAAACCAAGAAAATAAGCTGCAAAGAGACTTCAACTCTGAGCTTTTGAGATTACGGCAACACTGGAAACTCAGAAAAGTTGGGGATAAGATTCTTGGAGATCTGAGCTACAGAAGTGCAGGTATAGATCACCGTTAAAAACTATGCTTTTAGACTATCGTTTGTCAAAAAACAATACAGGATTGACTGTAATGTTACATAGTCTGTAATATATTGCTTCTCAGTTATATGTTACATTTTGAAGCTTTAATTTCTGTACCCATAAACCTGATAAGCTAAAATTACTTTTAACGTTGCCTTATATAAATATATTTACATAATTGAATCTAAATTATTTACATAGGTACTTTTAGCAGAAAGTTTATTTATTTACTTTTAATTTTATTTATTTGAGATAGAGAGCGAGAGAGAGCATGAGCAGGGAAGAGGGTCAGAGAGAGAGAGGGAGAAGCAGACTCCCCACTGAGCAGGGAGCCCAGCATAGGACGCGATCCCAGGTCCCTGAGATCGTGATGTGAGCTGAAGGCACACACTTAACTGACTGAGCCACCTAGGCACCCTATATTTACATATTTATTTTTATACTGATTTTTTTTTCCAAATTTTTATTTAATTCTAGTTAGTTAACGTACAGTGCAATATTGGTTTCAGGAGTAGGATTCAGTGATTGATCACTTACATATAATACCCAGTGCTCGCTCATCATAACCAGTGCCCTCAACTGTGGACTAGGGGAAATGGGGAGATGTTCAGTGGCTGTAGAGTTTCAATTAAGCAAGATGAACAAGTTCTAGAGATCTGCTGTACAGCACAGTGCTTATAGTTAACAGTATAGCATGATGCACTTCAAAATTTGTTAAGAGGGTAGATCTTAGGTTAAATGTTCTTACCACAAAACAAAAACAAAAATTAACTCACAAAAGGACACAAGGAAACTTTGGAGGTGTTGGATATGTCTGTTACCTTGATTGTGCTGGTTGTAATATGAATGTTTGCATATTTCCAAACTCATCAAATTGCACATGTTAAATATGCATGGCTTTTGGTACAACAGTTATACCTCATGCTTTTTAAAGATGCTTTTTAAAACAAAAAAACAAGTGCCCTCAATACCCATCACCTACCTAGCCCATCCCTCACCCACCTCCCTCATCAGCCCTCTATCATTAAGAGTCTCTTACGGTTTATTTCCCTCTCTTTTTTCCCCCTGTCCTATATGTTCATCTGTTTTGTTTCTTAAATTTCACATGAGTGAAATCCTGTGGTATTTGTCTTTCTCTGGCCAGCTTATTTGGCTTAGCATAATGCACTCTAGTTCCATCCACTTCATTACAAATGGCAAGATTTCATTCTTTTTGATAGCTGAATAATATTCTGTTACACACACACACACACACACACACACACACACACCTTCTTTATCCATTCATCAGTTGATGGACATTTGGGCTCTTTCCATAGTTGAGCTGTTGTTCATAATGCTGCTATAAACATCAGGGGGCATGCACCCCTTCAGATCCGTATTTTTGTATCCTTTGGGTAAATACCTAGTAGTGCAATTGCTGGATCTTAGGGTAGTTTTATTTTTAACTTTTTTTTTTTTTAAAAGATTTTATTTATTTGAGAGAGAGAGACAGCATGAGCAGAGATGGGGGGAAGAGGGAGAAGCAGGCTTCCCGCTGAGCAGGGAGCCTGATGTGGGGCTTGATTCCAGGACCCTGAGATCATGACCTGAGCTGAAGGCAGACGCTTAATCAACTGAGCCACCCAGGTGCCCCTACGTTCTGTTTTTAACTGCAAGATCTTAAACATCTTCCTGTGTTACAAAACAGCAGGTACATATAACCACCTACTCCTCACATAATTCAGCAGCCCAGAACAACTTACTCAGACGTCTGAACTACACAAAAGGTTATCACATAAAAATCCAGGAACTGGTTGAAAAAAAGGTGGCATCCTTTTGTTCTTCTGGCTGGATTCAGAACACTTCAAATGCAGCCTTATTACAGAAACTTATCTCCAGAAGTGTTTAATCTCTCAGGCTTAAATCTGAGGAAGTACTTTCTAGAAGTACATCCATTTCATCAATTTTATCAGCCAAATATCATTGGAACAAAACAGTTTGATGGCCCATGGAGTTCATAGTATGATGATACCATTAGACCAAGAAGTCTTTTTTTTTTTAAGGTAAAGAACTTTTTTTCCTGCTTCCTTTCTTCCCTTTGCTTACTACCCTTACCCCATTCCCCCTAAAGCACATTTTGGATGGGAGTTTAATTTATGATTCAGTGATGTAATAGTCAGTGAAATATTATATACTTAATGTATGTTAAATTAATGTGTTAACTGTTCTTATTTTCCTATTTTTAATACCCCATTAGGATCTCTCTTTCCCCATCATGGTACATTTGAAGTAATAAAGAATACAGATATTGATCTGGATAAGAAGATACCTGAAGATTACTGTCCCCTTGATGTTCAAATTCCTAGCGATTTAGAGGGGTCTGCCTATATCAAGGTATTTGTCAAGTACTTTAAGTAATTTCTTATTACTTAGCCCAGAAGTTAATTTGCTAACACCTTTTTCATGTTTTTATTGTCCCATAGGTTTCAATTCAGAAACAGGCTCCAGACATAGGTGATCTGGGCACAGTCAACCTCTTCAAACGACCTTTGCCCAAATCCAAACCAGGTGTAGTTATGTTCTGCCCTCTAACTTGTGGTTCTGTCTGAGCTTACATTCCCAAATAAACTGATGATAAATGTAGAGAGGAAAATAGGTACTTTGGAGTAAGAACAATTGGAAATTTATTATTTGTAATCTGTTCATTAACCATTAGTGAATAGCTGTGCAGTCTTTTTTAAGACTGAACTTCTTCACCAGTTTTCTCTGTGTAAAAGGCAGGAAAATTTTTGTATTTTGGAAAGGATATGCTCTAATTATAATGTTTTCTGAACTTTCGTTATATATATCCAGATCACCATTTAAGCTAATTCATACATAATACAGTCAGATAATTGATATATACTTATGTCCCCTGTCTTTCAGGTTCCCCACATTGGCAGACGAAATTAGAAGCAGCACAAAACGTTCTTTTGTGTAAAGAAATTTTTGCACAGCTCTCTCGGGAAGCTGTTCAAATTAAGTCACAGATCCCTCACATTGTGGTGAAAAACCAGATTATCTCTCAGCCCTTTCCAAGTAAGAGCAGCCAACCCCCTCGAGTTTATAAACAGGACTTTGTGGTTTGGGGAACAGAACAGAGGGGTTAACTACATATTTGGCTGTGTTGGAACAGTAAGAGCAAAGAGGTGGCCTGCTATCCATAATGGTAGCTCATAAAGCATGTAGGGCAAACCACATTGCTGATTCCGTCCTGTGTCCTAAGTAGTGTAACTGCTGGATTTTAAACAGTATATATTAAACATTTGTACCAGCAGTGCTGTTACTTAGCAGCAGTAGCTTTGAGGTGTCTGTGCTAACACCATTTGTGGAAGATTTTTCAGGGACCCTATCTTACTGTCTAAATGAGATGTTAGTTGGCGGTTATTGAATACCCATAATACTCCTAAATTTGTGGAAATTGGGATTTTAATTATATTACTCTAGAGCAGTCAGACCTGCCTTGGAACTCAGTCTGTAATTAGCTGTGCTCTTGTTTTTTATATAAATTCTGAGATGTATCTTCTTGGGTCTTGTCAAAGGAATGGGTTTTTAGAAGTGAAAAATTCCATCCTGGTTTTCATGGCAGCAAGGAAGAGTATCTCTCTTCTCATCAGTAAGATCAAATACCAGCTCTGTTTTTTTGTTTTTCTCAAAAATGGTGTTGTGTTTTGTTTTGCTTTCTTTAATTAAAAGGCAAGAAGAAACTAATTAGTTAATATACAGCTTCGGTTCACCTGTCTTTAACCCCACCTTAAGGTCAACAGCCACATTGTAGGTCAATAGAATTTGAATGGTTAAAATAAGTGATAGTTTGTCATACTCATGAATAGTCATTTTGGTCTGAAAATGGTAATCATGAAGCCTGACCTTCAGGTTTAGAATGGATCTTTTGAGAATGGGCTCTGATAATACTTTAGGAAGACAATTGTGCTTGTCCATGTCTTAGGTGATTTGCATCTGTTCTACTTCTTTTTTTTTATAAATAGGCTTGCAGTTATTGATTTCTTTATGCCATTCCTCAAATGATAAGAAATCCCAAAAATCTGCTACTGAGAAGCAAAGTCCGGAGGACCATCTTTATGTCTTAGAGCATAATTTGCATCTACTAATTAGAGAGGTAATGAGTAAAATGTTTCTTCTTCCATTGTAGTAAGCATGTCCAGTGCAGTGAATGTGCACAAGCTCCTCTCTGTGACATTCATTGTCTGTGGTGTGAAAGATCTTTGCTCTATGCTGGGGGAATACACAGATAATCAGGATTATCAGTCTCTGTTCCCAAGCATAGCTTATAGTGGTAGAAATATACCACAAGTTATATACAGGCGCGTAAGAAAAGCATGCAGGGTGCAGAGGGAAGAGTGATTCTGATTGTGTGATGGGGAGGGGAAGATGTCTTGCCAGAGCCTGTAAACAGGATAATCAAGTTATTTCAGGACATATTCTGCTTACAGGTTGTCTAGAACTGTGTTTCCAGAGTGCAGGTTCACAGTTTAGGCTAATTTCAAAAGAATCCCCTGAGAAACTTAATAGAAGTATGTATTCCAGCCTCCCCTGTTTTTAATATGTAAGTATTAGTTGTTTTTTAAAATAATTTTTTTTTAAATTTGTGACTTTATGGTGACAGATGTTAGTTAGACTTGGGAGGAATCATTTTACCATATATACAAACATCAAATCATGATGTTGTGTGCCTTAAACTAATATAAGTCAATTATACTTCAATAAAAAAATTAATTAAAAAATGGCTATTCTTGTTACAGTTTCATAAACAGACCTTGAGTTCCATCATGATGCCTCATCCAGCAAGTGCACCTTTTGGTCACAAGAGAATGAGACTTTCAGGCCCTCAAGCTTTCGATAAGAATGAAATCAGTTCACTACAATCCAGTGAAGGGCTTCTGGAAAAAATAATTAAACAAGCAAAGCATATTTTCCTGAGGAGCAGGTAAGGATGAACAAAGTAACTGGTTTTCTTAGAAAAGAAAACCCTTTATTAGTGACATTGTACACATTAGTTTTGGCGTGTGCTAACCTTTCCCAGGGAGAGGAGGATGGCTGCAGAGCGAACCTTTACAACTGGGGATGGTCCTGTCAGGTTCGGGGAAGACTTAGCTCCAGGGCCCATGTCACCTTCCAGATGGTTTCTAACACTGGCTACAGTTTTGAAAGACACCTCACTAGGAATGTGCCCTAGAACTTCTCACCTTCTTCAGTGACCCATCCACCAGAAACTTGTTCCTTAACTGGTTTTAATCTTTTCTTGAAGCTTTCCATATTTTTTGGCTGATCCACTTTTTAAGACCTTAGAAGGCACTTTCCCATATGTTGACTTTTCTAGCTCTTCTTCTCTGGCGTAGGTGGTGTGAGCTCATTTTCACTGTTGGGAAGGTTGAAGCCTAGAGAAGTTGTGTAGCTCGCTCAAAGTTAGACAGCTGAAGAGTAGCAAAATCAGGCCATACACCCAGGTCTGTGTAGCTCCCAAGCTCATGCTCATCTCGCTTCTGTACATATTATTTACAAAAGAACTTAGCATGATTGGACCTCAGTGTATCTTTTTCAAGTGCTGGAGGTGCTCTTGTATTTTATTTTTGGTCCTTGGTGAAGAGGGCTGTTTGTACTTTCAGAATTTTCGAGAGTGGGCTCACTCTGCTCTGGGTGATAGTTTATTTTTGATTTTCATTTTTTCCTGCTAACGCAAGTCATGGTCTTAATGGCACATTAGTTTGTAGTCTTTGAGTGGAAACTTATGTCTGCAGCTTTTAGTAAAATGAATTAGGAAGACATGTTAGTGAAGACAGCATGATGCGTTTGGGGTAAAAAATGTGTCTAAGCCAGGGCTCAGTCACCTGCTAACTTCGGTTTCCATGTCTTTGGCCCTCCACCTATTTCTCTGTCAATTAGGGATACAGGAGTCTGGTCTTAGGATCAAATTAAATAATGTATGCAGAAGTTCCTTATAAACAATCAAATATGGTAGGTTACTATTGTTACCTTCACTTGTGCATTTCAATTATAGAAACCTTTAACCAAAAGTCAGGGGCATGGAAGTCGCTATTTTTAGAACCATTATACATTTCAGAGTATTAGTTACAGTCTTGGAAGCAGCAAAGCTTGTAAAATGTTCCTGTTTTCCCCAGTTATAAAAATAATGTTCCAGTGTATCAGCCTCATCTGTATAAATAGCATACACAGCAAGACCAACTATTAACATGCTCGTCTGTTTTGATGTATGTGCGCCAGGGTGTATCTTTTTAAAAAAAAAAAAATCTGGATTCATAAAATTTTATGCCCTGCCTTCACTTAATATTGTAAATTTTTTCATTTTTCATTAGATGTTTTTCAGAGCTATTAAAGATGTTTTTCATAGCTATTAAAGCTATGTAATATCCCATTATGTGAATATTCCCTGATTTCTTTCATCAATTTTCAATTGCCAGATAGTTTTTATTTCCAGTTTGTTGAAACCTAATACTAAGATGAACGCTCTCCTCTACATATCTGTCTGCTGTAGGAATTTCTGAAGCACTGTCGAGGAAACAAGTCATGGAAAAGGAAAAGTTAAGAGGTTGAAAGAAACCAATACCAGAGCAGACGCAGTAAAAGCGCAAATCCCAAGCCTATTGTAAAAGCGCAAATCCCAAGCCTATTTATGTAAATGCCCCTTGTCCTCAGTGGCTGTTTGCATTTCTTCTGGCCTTTTCCTTCTCTTCCCAATCAGGTGCTAGAATCAGAGAACTGGAAACCGAGGACCTCCAATAGTTTGGTTAACTTTCATGATTTATGCTTTTTCTGGGTAGTGGCTGTTGATTAGTGTATATAAAAAGGAAAGATTACTGGCTCTAGGGTTACACTCCCAGGTTTTTGGCTCTGGTAGGCTACCGGTTTTGTGCCCCAGCTCATGGGTGGGTAACCTTAGGCAAATTACTGAGCATTGCTAGACTGAAAAATAGGGGTAATAATGGTATGTATTTGACAGGGTTGTTAATGAGATGAAATGATAGCACTCATGAAAGCACTTATTCCAGTCTTTGGTGCATAATGAGGACTTGAATCCTATCTCTCATGTGTATATATCATATTTATCTTTCTTGGAGTGTAAAGTTTTCGTTGTGCAGAGTCTAAATGGCTTCTCAAGAAAATGGTTGTTATTCCGTGACAGTAATGGGCCTCAGCTGTGGGCGTGTCCCGTGTTACTGGGGACCAAGGACTGCCATCTGTGAGTGATTTATATTCTTTTCAGAGCTGAAGTTTGTACCTGAAAAGTACCCTTCTTCCTTGTGTTTCAACAAGCTTTCCTGAGAAAACAAATGGGAGTTCAGAGGCAGTAAGCCTGTGCGTGAGCATGTGTCGTAGTGTGGCGCCGGGCACCCGCACGCCGGTCGGCCTGAGGAGGCTCTTGTCACCTCATCTGACCCTTTTCAAAAAAAGTCTTGGCTTTTCAGATGTGGTCCTTCCAAAAAGTAGTCCTCTCTTTTCACATAGCCATAACATTGATAAGTGATTTATAATCTTACTCTTTTTATATGATGACTTTTTGAAAATGTCGACTTCTTTTCTTTAAAAGAACTGCTGCAACCATTGACAGCTTAGCAAGTCGCATCGAAGACCCTCAGATACAGGCTCACTGGTCAAATATTAATGATGTTTATGAATCCAGTGTGAAGGTTTTAATCACATCACAAGGTTATGAACAGATATGCAAGTAAGTATCAAAAATAAGTTATTCATTTAAAATGTTAAGTTGCTTTTTATGTGTTGATGTTTGTTGAGTGATTACATAGAGATTTTGGATTTTATTTGCTACAGTGGCATAACATTCTGGTAAATGACATCAACTGTAGAGTGTAAGGATGAGAGGTAAGAAGCTCTGAAATAGTCTCCGTTAGGTAAATGTGACAGGTTTGAGTTGGTGGTTAAAAAAAAAAATGAACCTCCTCATTGAGGGAGAGGCTACCACACCTCAGACTGATCTGCTTCAGCTGCTGCCTGGAGGCTGTGGAGGTGAGTCTGGGGTATTTGAAGTGAGTGGGGCCATTTATATTAGAGCCTATACTCTCCATATTGTGCCTAAAACAGCCTAAGTTTTGTAGCTCTCTCATGGTGTGGGCCTAAACTTAGTCGAATCCAGTTCGTGATTATGCCCTTAAAATGGGGCTGAGAGCTGTGTCCATCAAGGGGGTGAAATGACTTTTGACCCCACTGTTCACAGAGAAGCATTCTTCCTGATTTACATCCACAAATCACAAGCTAATGTACAGAGAACAAACTGGTGGTTGCCGGTGGTGGTGGGGGAGGGGGATAGGTAGGAGGCCAAATGGGTAAAGGTGTTCAAAAGGTACAGACTTCCAGTTATAACATACGGTTCTGGGGTGCGATGTACAGCACGGTGACTACAGTTAATAATACTGGGTTGTACATTTGAAAGTAGCTAAGAGAGTAGATCTTAAAAGTTCTTATCACAGGAAGAAAAATGGGTAGCATGTGAGGTGGTGGGTATTAACTGAACATACTGTGATGATCATTTCACAATATATGTACTTACCAAATCATTATGCTGTACACCTTAAACTAATCGATGATATATGTCAGTTATATCTCAATAAAACTGGAGGGAAAAAAAAACTGGAGGGAATAAATGAAGTTAATAAAATTAGCAAGTAGCCATGAAAGGCATTTTTGGCCTCCATTTGAGCCTTGTTGAAATTTGACAACTGGCAGGATACAGTTGAGTACCTTTCCCCAGGTCAGTGTGAGTGAGCCCCTAGCAAACATTTATCAAGGTCCACGAGTGCCTGTTATTTTTCAAACTTTAGTTGCTTATTTCAGGCAGACCTAACTAGCCACAGTGGTCTCTCCAGTGAGCAAAATACACTGGGAGCAAAATCACCACCTTCAGGTGTAGGGGAGTATAATATCCTTAAATTGCTCTTTTTTAATATCAAGCTTTAGTTCACTTTTTTAAAAACAAAAAAATAATGAGCATGATTTAAAAGACTGAATATAGAAGATAAAAGAATATACAATGGAAATCAGTCTTGTTTCCAGGGAAAGATAGTGAGGTGAAGGTGGATCATGGTTTTCTGCCCCTATACCTAAAGAAACAAGAAAATAATTGGGGTGACTTGGGGTGTGGTGGGAGAGTAGCTGCTGAGTAAGATAAAACAAGTTTGGCATGTATTTTAACTGTTAGGGCTGGGTGATGGTGTCATTGACTTTCATGATAATATTTTTATATATATTACTATATATATAGAATCTGTAGTACTATATACTTGTGTTTGTGTTTAAAAATGTCCATAATAAAATGTTAAGAGAAAGAGTGAGCACAAAGGAGTGGAAAAGAAAAAAATATCAGCGTTAAGTTATTTACATTTAGAACTAAGACCAAACAAATGTGAGGTTATGGTTACAGGACCCAGGGGTTGTAAACTTTGGTGAAGAAGAGTTAGTAATAAATATAGCCTTGATAGCATCAGGAGGGAAAGGAAGTGGTAGGATACCCCCCCTTTCCTCATCCTTTATAGCTGGGGTCAACTTATGCTACTTAAAGTTGAAAGTAATTCTCTTAGAACTTCCCAGGAGCAAGCATTTCCTTTCCTTTCCCTTTCCTTTCCAGTTGAGAGCAAAACCAAGAGAGCATGAGCCGGGGGAGGGGGGAGCAGAGGCAGAGGGAGAAGCAGACTCCCCGCAGAAGGACTGCCCGAGAAGGAGCAGTGGATGGTGGTTGGCTGGAAAGCTGTGCTTCCTCGCCTGCAGCCTTCTGAGCAGACTGGTGCTCAGTGTGGCCTGGGGGAGTCGGGTAGGAGTCTGATGGTTAGGTTGAACCCAAGAAAACCCCTCTTCCCTGTGGGTGTTAGGGCAGGTTATCCAAATTGGTATTTTCTGTTTCTTTGATGTTAAGGTTTAATGTTTGCGGCACTGTATAAGGTAATTTTGAACATTTCTGACTTTTAGTATGTGTGTCTATAAAGGTCCATCCAGCTGCAGTTGAATATCGGAGTTGAGCAGATCCGAGTTGTACACAGAGATGGAAGAGTGATTACACTGTCTCATCAGGAGCAGGAGCTCCAGGATTTCCTTCTGTCCCAGGTAAGGGTTGCAGATGTCAAATCCTGAGCCTCTTCTTCTAGTAACAGCTTAAAGAACAAAGTGAGTAAGAAGTAGTTCCAGTATATTGTTATAAAAAGAAAGCCAGTTTTTTCTGCCATTTATTTAATTTCTAGTGCACATTCTACAACTTACGGGTTAACTGAAAATGTTGATGAACTGTCCTAGGTTTATTTCCAGTTAGTTTGTGTTTAAGATGAAGGACCAGGGGCACCTGGGTGGCTCAGTTGGTTAAGTGACTGTCTTCGGCTCAGGTCATGATCCTGGAGTCCTGGGATCGAGTCCCACATCGGGCTCCTTGCTCGGCAGGGAGTCTGCTTCTCCCTCTGACCCTCCCCGCCTCATGCTCTCTCTCTGTTTTCTCTCTCTCAAATAAAATCTTAAAAAAAAAAGATGAAGGATCAGCTCTGGGATTACAAACTTTTTATTTCTCATGTTTGCCAAGGTTTACAACCCCTTTGGGACCACATAAAAGTAAAGAAATATTAACCCCAGAAAACCAGGGAAGGGGGAACCGATAGAAAACCGTAATAGTGGAATATTCTACTTAAGCCCTAAGACAGAGTTCTTCAATATTAAGGGACAGCATGGAAAGTGCTGGGTTCTATTTCCAGTTCTACCACACATTTGCTTTGTGACACTGGACAAATTTCTGGACCTCTCTTTCCTGTTCTATAAAATTAAGAACAGTATTTTTCCTGTGTTCTTCAGGGAGTTATGATCCAATGAAAAACAGTTGTGGGAGAAAGAATAGGTTTAGAAATGCCAATATGCCTTTCACAAAATACATTTATCTTTCACATAAAATTAAAAAAAAAATACTGATGCTTTCCATCCTAGAACCAATAATCTTTTATACTGACTTGCTTCTTTGGTGCCAAGTAAATAAAATGCGTTTGTGAGGTATGGCAGCTCTTGGTTGATTACATCTAAAATGACTTTGGTCACCGTAAGCATACATACATAGAAATATATTGGAAGGCTGGTGGGAATCGATGGGAAGGCTTGCAGACCCTGACACTCCTGCCTTCCTCACTAGTGGCAGAATGCACTCCAGAGGGCCCCAGTATATCAATCCGGATCTTAACAGGAAGTACGTGGCACGCTCAGTCATTTTACTAAGGATTTACAAAAGTGTGGGTGTTGGAGAACACCAGGGAGAGCGTGGTAACCTAGTGCTAGTAATAACCAGGTAACCAGGCCTGGGGGGCTTAGTGGTCACCAGTCCTAGGCCAGAGAGATAAGGGGAGGGCTTATGGGTACCCTGAAGGAGAGAGTCCTATGGAACAGGCCACTTGGAGAAAACCAGTTGCCTTCTGTCAAAGGATACAACCTCACAGGGGAGGATACTGGGCGAATAAATGCCCCGATCTTACTCTCTTCCTCGTCATCCTTCTGGCTCCCCATTACCCGGCTGGCTCCCGTTATCTGAACGCCACCCAAAGCCAGATGATGGAACCATATGGGTGATCCTCCCTGGGCCGAGTAGGATGGCGAGTGGATTTGGAAGATATCCACCCCCTGCTACTTTGGATGTTGCTCCACATTTGGTGATCCAGGTGGGAGTCTCCACTTGGCCAAGTTTAGGTCCTGTTCCCGTGCTCCAGCTGCCAGTGGACACGGAAGATGAGTCTCAGGCTATTTTAGCCTCTGCAGTGGAAGGTGGGATTCTCCCCCCAGTAGTCACAGAGGAGGATTCCCGTGTGAGGCAGTGAGCACCCCAAGGAAAGTTTACAATCATGATGTCAGGTTTACTGCAAAGTAAATCTCCATGGTGATTATGCGTAAAGTTGCCTTTTTCATTTACAGATGTCACAGCATCAGGTGCATGCAGTTCAGCAGCTCGCCAAGGTCATGGGCTGGCAGGTGCTCAGCTTCAGTAATCATGTGGGACTTGGGCCCATAGAGAGCATTGGCAATGCGTCCGCCATCACCGTGGCCTCCCCGAGCGGCGACTATGCTATTTCAGGTACTGGCCACTGCCCTGAATGGGAAGAGATCTTTGGGAGTTTGGCCTTAATGTTCACCTGTACTAGTCAGATGTACTTCAGAGTAATTTCTCTCTGCAGCGAGTTCATATAGGAGTTAACGCTGAACATTTATCTGATCACGGCTCTTATTCAGAGCAACAGATTATTCTCTTTCTAGTGGTCATAAAAAATGTTTTGTTTGGTGACACATTTTCCTAAGAGCTCTGAAAACTTCTTTCATCATTGTTACCCTGTAGTTCAGAACCTCTGATGGATAAATGCTTTTGGAAAATGTACTGCTCAAACAGGCCAGAGTCACATCTGATCCCAAAGATGTAAAGGGATGGAACAGAGAGGAGAGGTGATTTTTAAACACTCATTCTGACTAGGGCACTTTAATAAACACACGTATTATCTAGTTGAAAATGATACCTAGTTGAAAATGAAAACTTATGGCTTTAGTGTGGTCTTTTCTAATACCTGCTCTAAATATTTGAAAGAGTAATTAGAAAATTTTTCCTACAGAATCATAGCTTGTGAATCTGCAGGCTTGGTCATTGCTAGGTCTTTACTGATAAGAGTTTCAAAACCCATTTCTTCTTTGCTGAGTGATGAAGCCTCATTAAAACCTGAAGTTCTTAATTCAGAATAATCTTGTCTTCGTCTCTCCTGGTCCTGATGCCAAATGTTTGAGTTTCATTATATATTAGGTGTGTATCAGATGTTTTAGAAAAAAATAAATTGGTTTTCTGAAAATAGATAGGACATTTGACTTTCCTAAGCCAGAATTCATCTTGCCGCATTTTTATGGTACGAATAGTAATTCATGAATATTTATACCATGTAAATAAGCAAGCTTTTTGGGTTTTGCGGGGAGGGCGGTTAGCATATTACAAGTGACAAGCACTTTTAAACAAGAGATTTCAAGTTGGTAGACAAGGTTTTTGTATTCATGGTAGAATGAAAGTTGTGGGACCCTCGTTTTCTAGTTTGGAAATTGACTATTGATACTTTGGTTTTGCTCCACAGTTCGTAATGGCCCTGAAAGTGGCAGCAAGATCATGGTTCAGTTTCCCCGTAACCAGTGTAAAGATCTTCCAAAAAGTGATGTTTTACAAGATAGCAAATGGAATCATCTTCGTGGACCATTCAGAGAAGTTCAGTGGAATAAAATGGAAGGTCGAAACTTTGTTTATAAAATGGAGCTGCTTATGTCTGCACTTAGCCCTTGCCTACTGTGAGTTTTGTTTCCAGAACAGTTTCTAGATTATTTTTTTCCAGAGAAGTTTCCAGAAACTGACTTGAGAAGAACTATAAGCACAAGGAAGAGAAATTTTCCAAAGGAGTATTGTTTAAAAAAAAAAAAAAGCAAATGTTTACCTAGCATTTTGAAACCTTTCACTTTATAAGTGCCAAGTGCTTTGAAATGCAGACGCTTATGTACAGTTACAGGGTATATAGTATGGGGAGATGTAAAACAACTTTTTTTATGCAGTTAAAATGTTACTAATTTATGGGTTTGAATTCAACTTTTTTAAATATTCCTTTGATGTTGACATCAAATAAAGCATATGGTTAAAAATTCCAGATATTCTCTGAACTCTTAATAACCTTTAATCAACGTGTCTCATTCCACTATTTGTTAAAAAGATTGCGTAAGAATATTTGAACACTCGTGAGTCAGCATTCCTACAGGAGCGCACTCACCCCGTAAGCAAGTGGAACAGAGGACGGGCCTGCAGGGGGAGCCCCTCCTCCTAGAGCTGCCAACATGGGCGCTTGTCCCAGCAAATCAAGTATCTCACTGTCATGTATGCCCGGGTCTGACCAAAACAGGTCAGAGCTGTCTGAGAGCTTCCTAGAAGGTACCAGCTGAAGGCCTGAGAGCAGAATGTATCTCTAGGGCTTCCTCGTGCCCCCTTTTGGTCTCTTCCTCCCTGTGAATGACCTCTGTCCATTCGGACCAGATGTGTTTACACCTCGCCCCACCTGCCCCTGCCTCCCCCCAGGAGCTCTGGACTCTACTCCCAGTGAAAGTCTTGTCCTTACTCCATCGGCGTTCTTTCCTGAGGGGAAAAAACTGATGGATCAGTGAATCGATTACGTTTTACAAATAACATGTTTGAACTTCCTGGAACTAATCCCCAATCCTAAAATGTGCCCAAGGAGCTTCCCTTCATAAGAGACTTAGGTTGATATGGATCTTTTGGAACCACCATAAGGAATACATAAGTAGTGTTTTCCTGAGGAGAAAGGCTTTCAATTTTTTAAAAGAGACCCTTTTAAGCATTCATAAGATGACTGTGAAGTAACTTTAAAAGGTTTCTGTATTTCTCCCTTTTTCTTTTAAAAGAAAAATGGAGCTTGTAAGCCCTCAAATACCATAACATCTTTGTGTTTGTTTTGCCCTCTTGATCAAGATACTGCATCTTCCTTTCCATGGAAATTTTTAAAAAATGGTCTGAATCTAAATTATAAATCTGTATCAATCTTTTCATGGTGGCCCAGAAAAGTTGCCTTAGCTACTTATCCTAAGCTCTTCTGTACAGTTCTGCTCCCACGAGGAGCCTTATGTGATTTTGAAGGCTCACACGCTAATACAGCAAATCTCAAAGGACTTTTGCCAGAGGACTAGTTTTTTTAATTTCCACCCACTGTAGGTTGATACTTCAGTAAATATAATAAAAATGAATTAGAAAAATTAAATTTTAAAGAGATACCAAATAAAAGCCCTCTCCTTTTATTATAATAGACATAAGATGGCTATCAAACATTTCTGAATGTTTTGTTGTCCCTCGTCATGAGCCAGTACAACAGGACCACACTGGAGCGGAGAGCACATGCACAGATAGGACCACCTATTCTCTTAAACTTCATTGGAGGAGAGTAGAACAGTTGAAGACTGACACCATCTTCATATCCCTTCCTATCCCCATTATTTTAAATCACCGGGTAGGGAATAGCCATCACCCACTATGGAAACTGAGGTAAAGGCGGGGAGGGATGGGAAATGGCAGCTCTTGGGCCTTGCGTTGATTTATATTTTCCAGCTTAATGTGGCAACCTGAAGGACCTGGCGCCGGAAGGAGGCGCTGCGAAACTTCGGAGACCGGTTAGAGAAAACCAGTTAGTCCCTCCCCCTGTGTTCACAGGCTGACAGGAGCTATGCTCAGACGTTGGTTCTACCTCTGCTTAGCTGTATCCGTTTGGCAAGGCTGCCCCCTTGGAGCCTGTTCCCTTTGGTGTACAACAAGGACAAGGATGGCCCTGCTCACCTCAGTATGGTTGGTAATGGGTGTGAAATTCTGAAGTGCTGTGCGGCTATAAAACATTAAATGCCTGTTTTCTGAAAGTCAAACGTTTTGGAATTTGGTAAGCAGTTAAGATGCCAGCTTTATTTTTACTTAATAAAGGAGAAAGCATTTTGGAATGTCTTGCATCGTTCAGATTCACAGATGGTAAAGACAGTGAGTGCATCTGTGGCCATGAAGATTGTTGTTTTCTCCAGCTCATTTTGAAAGCCATGCTCAGGGGTCAGTCTCTTTCCATACCTTTGTTCTTCACTTCCTACTCCAGTTCTTCGAGGCCATATGTACTTGGGGCCAAAGGCTCTTTGAATCTCACTTTAGGATGGGAACTGACATAACAGACCATTCATCCCTGAGAAACCCTGTGTCTGAAGTAGCAAGCACTGGGACTCAGCCTCGTCAGTGACCAGAGCTTGGTCTTTGTTCTAAAGTTTGCTGTTTCCTATCTACCAGGCCACTTCTAGAAATTCATCTTGTAGGCATACTTCACAAAGCACAGATTCACAAAGATTACTGTATAACGATTAGAGGAGGTCTGCAAAAGTGAAAAATTGAGACCAATCTAAACGTCCAAATGAGAAGGACTATATTATGGTAAAGGAGCCCCAAATACCGGCACTCATTTTTACTTCTCTAAAAGTTGAGCTCAAATGGCCAAGGAGTTTTTCTGCTCCCAATATTCTGGCTCTCCTTGATTGGGAACCAGGAAAACTTCCATATTATTCTGTATTTGTTTCCCTATTTACTGACTGTAAAACATTTGTTGTAGAACAGACTATATTTGGCTTGAAATGATGGATGAAGGAGATGTTTGAGATAGAAAAGTAGCAGACATGGAAGAGGGTAGAGAGCCCAGAAATAAGCCCATGCTTATATGGTCAATTAATCTATGACAAAGGCAACAAGAACTTACAGGGAAAAAGTCTCTTCAATAAATGGTGTTGGGAAAACGACCACTTTCTCACAGGATATGCAAAATTAACTCAAATGGATTAAAGATGTAAATGTGAGACATGAAACCATAAAACTCCTAAAAGAAAACATAGGCCATAATCTCTTGGGATGTCAGCCTTAGCAACATATTTATGGGTACGGCTCCTCAGGCAATGGAAACAAAAGCAAAAATAAACTATTGGGGCTTCATCAAAATAAAAAGCTGTACAGCCAAGGAAACCATCAACAAAACAAAAAGGCAGCCTACTGAAGATATTTACAAATGATAGAGCCAATAAGGGGTTAATATCCAAAATAAAAAACAAAACAAAGAAAAAACCTGAAAAATGGGCAGAGGATCTAAATAGCCATTTTTCCACACAAGCAAAACAGATGGACAACAGACACATGAAAAGATACTCAACATCACTGATCATCAGGGAAATGCAAATCAAAACCACAGTGAGATATCACCTCACACCTGTCAGAATGGCTAAAATCAAAAAGACAACTAACAAGTGTTGGTGAGGTTGTGGAGGAAAGGGAGCCTTCGTGCACTGTTGGTGGGAATGCAAACTGGTGCAGCCACTCTGGAAAACAGTATGGAGGTTCCTCAAAAAACTAAAAATAGAAATACCATGTGATCCAGTAATTCCACTGCTGGATATTTACCCAAAGAAAGTGAAAAGATATGCACCCTGTGTTTATTGCAGCACTATTTACAATAGCCAAGGTATGGAAGCAACCCAAGTGTCCACCAATAGATGAATGGATAATGAAGATGTGGTATATATATACACAGTGAAATATTATTCAGCCATAAAAAAGAATGAGATCTTGGCATTTGGGACAACATAGATGGACCCAGAAGGTATAATGCTAAGTGAAATAAGTCAGAGAAAGAGAAATACCATAGGATTTCACTGATGTGGAATCTAAACACAAAGGAACAAACAAACTCTTAAATACAGAGAACTAGTAGTTCCCAGAGGGGAGGTGGATGGGGGATGGGCGACATAGATAAAGGGGATTAAGAGGTACAAACTTCAAGTTATAAAATAAGTCACAGATTAAAAGTATACACAGGGAATACAGTCAATACCGTAATAACATTATATGGTGACAGATGGTGACTGCACTTATCGGGGTGAGCACTGAGTAATGTATAGAACTGTTGAATCAGTATTGTACGCCTGAAACTCCTATAACATTGCATGTTGATTACTTCAATTAAAACAGAAACCAATGCTTTCTGAGATTAAAAGTGTATACTTCTCTTAGTCTTGGCTATATTTATCTATGATTAAAAAAAAAGATTAATCCTTAAAAAAAAAAAAATAACATACAATCTGAAAAGCTTCCTGATAATTTAGTGAGTATACCAAGTTGCTGAGGCCAGTGGCACAGTCTCTTTCACCTAAATCTATTCATGGCTTTTCTTTTGACTCGCTTTACAAGTACTCCCAATCCGAGTCCCTTGGACCCCGCAAAAAAGAGAACTATGATCTGTGTTTGCTATTTGAAAAAGCCTAAAGGAAATCCTACACTTAGCCAACAAAACTTTGCTATCAGATTGCTTTGCCAGAACACCATCAAATTAAAGTGATACCCCTGATTATTTCATTTTGACCAGGAATTGTAATTTTTAAAAATTTTTAAAAAGGATTAATTACTTTTCTTAGTAACCTCTACACCCAACATGAGGCTCGAACTCACAACCCCGAGATCAAGAGTTGAATGCTCCTCCGACTGAGCCAGCCAGGCACCCCTGACCAGGAATTCTAATTGGCACTTTTGTACTGTTGATTAATAAAAACAGGAAATTAAGTTATTATTTAATACATTCATTTTGGTTAGTAAAAAATTCTTGCAAACCAAGGGACCCGAAGGAAAAAGACTTTTAGCATTTTTAGGGCCAGAGCCACCTGCACAATCACTGGTCTGTTGAATCCAAGGAATTCTACCCACCCATGTGTCCATGTTATAAGGTCAAATCTACAGCGAAAATTTTAGCTTTACCTTACATGAACAATGCTCTTTCTCCCTCCCCCAGACAGTCTCTAATAAGCTTTATCATAAACCCCACCAATAAGATAAAACATTGACTCTGAAGTCCTGAAAGAGGGGAGGATTCCTAGGAATAGAGCTGAATGCATTAGTTAAGAGGAAGGAACAAGTCTGCCCTAAAAGATCGCTGTAAAAGAAAGATGTATTTTTGTAGATATCATTTAGAAGAGAAGTTTTCAGTGAACAACCATAACGTATCCATGCTAGGGATCACACTGTGCAGGCAAGAAGAATGGAGTTTAGGAATAAGAGACATGAAATAATGCCCAAGAAACATGA